TTTTTGTAGATACGGGGTTTCACAGTGTTGGCCAGGATAGTTTTGAACTCCTGACCTCAAATGATCCTCCCTCATCGGCTTCCCAAAGTGGTAGGATTACAGGCATGAGCCACTCTGCCTGGCTTATATTATGATAGTATCCATAATTGATCATGATTTGATTTCTTAAATAGCATTTTCAATTTATTATGCCCTTGATGACATGCCATTCTTTGTAGCTGATTCATCACTTTTTAAAATCTGTCCCACAAGCAGCACATGTAGTAGTGGACCTTTAAAGATACTTTGAAGATAAATGTTTCAGATGTTTTAAATGACATCTAAATGATAGCTAGATATGACTTTATGCCACTTTCACCAATTCTTACTATTCACAGACTCTAAGTAAAGCAGATGTTTCATCTCCCAAATGGGTGTTATTCATTTAGTCATAAACCTGCTTCCCTCGGTATTAGAGAACTCTTTCATTAAGCACTGGCCAAATGATAAGTTTATTTTTTTCTGATGGCTTAAATAGGTTAAAAGAAATGCACCTGCTATATTGTGGAACATTAGATAACTCAAAGTAGGTTTTTGAATCCTAAAATAAATAACACACAATAAAGGGATGTCTCCTCCTTGGCCCTATAGCTGTCTTACTACTTACTGATTTTCATTTTATTTTATTTTATTTTTGAGACAGAGTCTCCCTCTGTTGCCAGGCTGGAGTACAGTGGCGCCGTCTTGGCTCACTGCAGCCTCTGCCTCCTGGGTTCAAGTGATTCTCCTGCCTCAGCCTCCTGAGTAGCTAGAACTACAGTCATGCGCCACCACAACCAGCTAGTTTTTGTATTTTTAGTAGAGATGGGGTTTCACCAGTTGCTTAGGATGGTCATGATCTCTTGACCTTGTGATCTGCCTGCCTTAGCCTCCCAAAGTGTTGCGATTATAGGCATGAGCCAATGTGCCTGGCCCATTTTATTTTAATTAATTAATTTTGTTTGTTTGTTTGTTTATTTATTTATTTATTTATTTATTTATTTTTGAGGCAGAGTCTCACCTGTCGCCAGTGCAGTGGCACGATCTTGGCTCACTGCAGCCTCTGCCTCCTGGGTTCTCCTGCCAGGATGGTCTCGATCTCTTGACCTCGTGATTTGCCCACCGTGGCCTCCCAAAGTGTCAGGATTACAGGCGTGAGCCACTGAGCCTGGCCCATTTTATTTTTAAAGTATGAAATAGAATATGTTGAAAACCAGTGCTCTATAATATGAACATGTACTACTTTTCATAGTCTCATTTAAAATAGAAGGCCTAATTAGCCTGGGTGACAGAGCAAGACGCTGTCTCAAACACAAAACAAAACCAAAAGGCAAAAAAAGAAAAAAAACAAAACCCAAAACAACAACGACAAAAACCCAAAGCCTTAAAATGTATTTATTTATTTATTTATTTATTTGGAGACAGAGTTTTGCTCTGTCACCCAGGCTGGAGTGTAATACCGCAATCTTGGCTCATTGCAACCTCCACCTCCCAGGTTCAAGTGATTGTCCTGCCTCAGCCTCTCGAGTAGCTGGGATTATAGGCGCCCACTACCATGCCCAGCTAATTTTTTGTATTCTTAGTAGAGATGGGGTTTCACCATGTTGGCCAGGCTGGTCTTGAACTCCTGACTTCAGGTGATCTGCTCACCTCAGCCACCCAAAGTGCTGGGATTATAGGTGTGAGTCATTGTGCCTGGCCAAAAATACAATTTTGTTAGAAAAGTAACATTTGAAACCTTGTACCAAATGTATTTATTATAAAAATAATATATGCTTTTAAGCACTTTTTAAAGTATAGAAGTATTTAAAGTAAAAATGAAAGTTCTCTATTTTCTTATTTTGTTCCTTAGCTAATATAATTTAGCCTTGCAGGAATTTAGGTTTTAAATTTAAAAGTTCTTGGCCAATCAAAAAATCTTTTTAGGCTGGTCATGGTAGCTCATGCCTGTAATCCCAGCCCTTTGGGAGACTGAGGTGGGAGGATCACTTAAGCTCAAGAGTTCAAGACCAGCCTGAGTAACATAGTGAGACCCTGTTTCAACAAGAAAAAAAAGAAAGGCCAGGTGTGGTGGCACAATAGTGTGGTCCTGCTATTTGGGAGGCTTAAGACAGGAGGATTGCGTGAGCTGGGAAGGTTGAAACCTGCAGTGAGCCCTATTCCTGTCATTGCACTCAAACCTGAGAGACAGATCGAGACCCAAGCTCCACTTTTTTTTTTTTTTTTAAAGGTGGCAGGAAGGCAGAAGCAATATTTTTTTTGGTATATATTTTTCATTGTTGTGTGAGTTTTTTTTTTTGGTTTGTAACATGTGATTTACCGTTTTAAAGTATAGAAATGAATGGTTTTCAGTATATTTATGGAGTTGGGTGTCTTAGGCAGAGTTGAGACATTCTGATTTCTTAGTTCTTGAAGTTTCAGTGTTTATTTTTTTATTATTTTTTGAGACAGAGTCTCACTCTGTTGTCCAGACTAAAGTGCAGTGGCATGATCTCAGCTCACTGCAATCTCTGCCTCCTAGGTTCAAGTGATTCTCCTGCCTCAGCCTCCGGAGTAGCTGGAATTACAGGCACATATTACCATGTCTGGCTAATTTTTGTATTTTTTAGTAGAGATGGGGTTTTGCCATGTTGGCCAGGCTGGTCTCAAACTCCTGACCTCAGGTGATCCACCTGCCTTGGCCTCCCAAAGTGCTGGGATTACAGGCATGAGCCACTACACCCGATCTCAATGTTTATTTTTTAGAAGTTTTTATTATGGGGAATTTCAGATATACCCTAAAGTAGCATAGTATAATGAACCCCCAGTGTCCATTCTTCATCTTCCCTTCATGGCCAGTCTTCTTCCATCTTTTCCTTCATTTACTCCCCCAGGGTTATCTTGAAGCAGATTGCAGATATTGTATTATTTCTTCTGTAAATATTTCAGTCTGTATCTATAAAACATAATTTAAAAAAAAGACCACGATGATGTTCACATTAAAACAATCTAATAATTACTTAATATTAAATAACCAGTGTTCAAATTTCTAATGTAAAAAGTTTAGTTGTGTTTTATAACTTATAGAGGATAATTTTTAACTTGTTAGAGAAAAGTTTGATGTCATACTAAATATTTATACAATGTATTTTAATATCTGATTCAAATGAGTTTGAATTTATGTCACTAAAGTAAAATCTCACAGATTCCAAAATACACACACACACACACACACACACACACACACACACACGTATTTTTTTTTTGAGTTGGAGTTTTGCTCTTGTTGCCCAGGCTGGAGTGCAATGCATGATCTTGGCTCCCTGCAGCCTCTACCTCTCAGGTTCATTGGATTCTCCTGCCTCAGCCTCCTGAGAAGCAGGGATTACAGGCACCCACCACTATGCCCAGCAAATTTTTTTGTATTTTTAGTAGAGATGGGGTTTCACCATGTTGGCCAGGCTGATCTTGAACTCCTGACCTCAAATAAGCCGCCTGCCTCAGCCTCCGAATGTACTGGGATTACAAGCATGAGCCATTGGGCTCAGCCCCAAAATATATTTAACTTCCTGTCTTCCTGAATAAAAAAAATTATTCTCTTTTCCTTGAATATCCACTTGGTTTGAGATTTCCTGGTCTTAAACTTCTTATTTATAGTACTTAGGGAGCCTGAACATTCTGTACTGAGGAAACAGAACAGAGGGCTGGATATTGCAGAAGTCCATCTTGCCTTCATAATGGTGCTCTTATGGTATAAGTGATGAATTCATCTAGAGGTGGAGAGAGGGAGTGGGCAGGGGAGATTATTATGGAATTTACTTCCAGTTATAGTGCCAATACGTGAAAAAGGAAAGGCCTTGGAGACTCAGCCAATTTTTAACTTTGGATGAAGTATCTTGCTTTTGAGAGCACCATTAGACAAGGGAAAGGGACTTCTGATGGCTTAAATAACCCATTAACTGTATCTCTCTAAGATGATACAGTTAGAGTAACAACAGCGTAGGAATAACCATAGTCATTTAGAATTGTGTACAGGTCAAATCCCGTTACAACCATTTCAGAAGAATATCTGACTTTCTTATTTGTCTTAAAGCTTATATTGCAAAGTATTAATATGTAATGTATCAGATTGTAGACCTTTTTTTTAATTCTTAAATTTCTTTGAGGAAAAAAGCACAAGGACTTTTGAAGGGGCATTTCTAATTAACCCCACATCCAGCTTCCCTGTTACTGAGACCCTGGATGGGAATTTGCTATCGCTGGTTGGCTGCATGGCACCAGGCAGCTCCTTGAGCTCACTTGCCTTGTGCTTCACAGTGCCAGAGTGTTCATTTATTCATGCAGCCTGAAAAGTGTGGTGGGCATCAGGATTTGCTTGGTGCTCTGGGAGAAGATTAACCATAAATAAAAGATGCAGTCCCTATTCATTAGGAATTTACAGACCACTTGGAAGAGGCAACCACCAAGCGTCTAAGGTATGATGCAGTCATAAGAGTATTTGGAATTAGGGGTGAAGTGAAACTTTCCAGGGTTTATCATGTCGTATGTCAAACTATCAGCAAAAATCTGAAAGTATTTTGTAGTATTTCTATTTATATAGCTTTCATTGTAACGGGATTTAACCTGTAACATCTTTTCATCAGAGCACTGCAGATTACACAAATGAAAATATCATAAATCCCCATTTGTACTTTCTGTACTTTGTACCAAATGTACTTAACTGTATGCTAAATATAATATTGAATATGTATCAGTGTAAATGTTAAGAGCCTTTTGCAAATAGATTCATGAACATGGATACTTATTTTGTTTACTTTTATATTGAGTAAGATAAAACGTAATGTTTATACAAAACACGCATTAAAACGTCTGGAATGTTATTTCAGTGTGTGATGGATGAGTGGTTGCTTTAAATCACTAGGTTTTTGACTGGTGCTAGAGTAGCTGGTGTTGCTTAACGTGGCGTTTTTTTTTCCTGTCCACACTTTCCACCCTTGGTACAGGTATTTTTGATAAAGCTGTGGAATGGAAAGGTATGTTTTTCTTGAGATGTTCAAGAATCTGTTACCTTAAATTTTTTTAAAGAGGTTTCCTTTATGGGTTTCCTTTTGTGTCTGGCTTAAGCAGACTTAGTTTAATTGTAACAAGTAACATTTTTAGAGGCAGTATTTGTGTATAAAAGTTTGACATGACACAAGTTTCTGACTTTACTTTTCCCCATTCCCTTATTAAAGATAGTATGAAATATTTTAAAGCATTTGGGGTTGGGGGGAGGGTTGCTCCTAAAATATAGGATCTTTGCCATGAAGAAAGAACGTAGCCTAAGAGTTGTTTATGGTAGTTAATGATCTAGTATGTTGTTATAGCTAGAATCCTGATTAGTAATAGTTTGCAATTTCATTGAGGAAAGTGATATAAAAGTATTTCTTAATATATTAATATGTGAAATAATTTTAGAGACTTTATTAAATTCACAGAGTCCTCTGTATGGTGGAGGAACAGTTCAGCTTGAGCTGGTGACTGGCTGAACTAGAAGGGTTAGTCCGGGAAAGTGACAAGTCGGCAGGGCATGTCTGCATGGATTCTGTGCCAGGCTTCCTGCCTGCACAGCGCTTTTTTCCCTGTCCGAGTTCTGTGCTGACCAGGGCTGTCCACAGGCATGTTTACACTCCCTGTTCTTGCAGGTTGACTTGAAAGAACCACGTAGCTAAATTGGTGAGAGACTCAGCCTGACCGCTTGTCTTTAGAAGGCCTGATTGGAAGAGTGCACTCTATTGACTTTCCTCTAACAATGAAATTGTGAAAGGTACATGGGGCAGCTGTGAGACGTGCAGCTATCGGGTCTCACCGGCACATCCCTTTTCTCGTAAAGCAATGAAGCACTTTCTAAGGCATTGGTACTAGTGCTGGAGGCTGCCGGTGCATTAGATGCTGCCCGTCACGTCGATGGGCTGAGAAACCCTCCTTAAAGATCTGTGATGTTTTGTAAACCCTGACTGTACTGGTGGTTGCAAAGTTCGTGTCTGCTCAGTGTTCCCCATCTCACCAGAAGTGTTTCCTTTTTCTCATTCTTAGAGGTCCTGTAATAAAGAGGGATCCGAACAAGCTCAGAAAGAAAACAAATTTCAAGTAAGTAATTCAGTCCCTCTGCATCTGTGTGAGATGTGAACTGGTGTTAGCCACCCTTTGCTACTCCAGGGCTTGGCCGTGTCTGTTACCTACCCTTGGAAAATCCTGATATATCTTTCTACGAGGAGGGGCTCTTGGTATATCTCTCAGAAACCACCTCATGCAGGCTGAATGAACAGTGGGTATTCCTCATTCCTCCTGACAATGTAGACTGTGGCAGTTTGGTGTCTTTATGGCAATCGAAACAGCATTCGGATGCTGGGAGATGGCAGCCAGGGGACCATTCGTGTGTGGTACCTGATGTGGGGACCCTGGCTGCTGCTGCTCCAGTGTCTTTCTCACCCCGTTTTGGCTGTTCTCACACTTCCCATCAGGAAGCAAGTCACTGCCCAGTGGTTTTGGTGGCCACCCTTTTTCCCTGGTCAAGCAGCAGTGTTGTTTCCTATGTATGAGACCCAAGTTGGAAAGGCTTCTTCCTAGACTTAGAGAATGTGTCCCCACTCTGTGAAACGCACATGTGCAGATGGCTTGAGGCCAACAGCACTGAAGCATGGAGGCTCAGAAGCAGGGGTCTGGGGCACTGGTCTGCATGCTCCAGAAGAAGCACCTTTTAAGCATGTCTGCCATTATGTACAGTCTCACAGAAAAGGGTGCATGTGCACACACACCCCACGTATGTATATCTACGACATAGATATACACACACCACCACACCAGTTTTACCAATTGTATATTGATTATTTAAATGATCAAGAAATAGGCCGGGCATGGTGGCTCATGCCTGTAATCCCAGCACTTGGAGAGGCCGAGGTGGGAGGATCACTTAAGGTTAGGAGTTTGAGACCAGCCTGGCCAACATGGTGAAACCTCGTCTCTACTAAAAATACAAAAATTAGCCAGGCATGATGGTGGGCGTCTGTCATTCCATCTACTTGGGAGGCTGAGGCAGGAGAATTGCTTGAACCTGGGAGGCAGAAGTTGCAGTGAGCTGAGATCACGCCACTGCACTCCAGCCTGGGTGAGAGAGTGAAACTCTTGTCTCAAAAAAAAAAAGGAATGAGACAGTAAAACAGTTGAGATAAAAAAAGGAATGAAAGTGCCGATATTTTTTTCACACATTTCAGCAGCTTGTTTTGCATGTGTCCTGCTCTGGGGGTCCTGCTAGAGGATCTAGAATTTGTGCTCTCTGGAGTGACAGTGATTGGGAAGTCCTTGAGTGGGAAGTGATTGACCTTCTGTTGTCAACCATCCCAAGCCCTTCGTGCATAGACTTTTGGACATCCTGGTAACTGGAAATGTTGGATATCTAGGACCTCTGTGATGCTAAATCCAAAGTACTTTCCAGTTCTCATTTTATTTTGACTTCTCAGTAGCATTTTACATGCCTCCCTCCCTTTTGAAATGTTTCCTCCCTGAGGCAGCCATGACATAGAGACACAAAGTGCTGCTCTGGCTGTCTTCATGCTCAGTCGCCCCATGATGTGCCTGTAGGCTCTCTTCTCATGTCCTCTCTCCCTCATTCATCTGATACACAGGCCAAAGCGTCACTACATTTTTCCTCCAGCCCTGACCCCAACTTGGAACTAACGCCATCGGGTAGCAGTCTCTCCTCGGATGTCTCATACGCCCCTCCAACTCGCCACGTCCTACACCGCACACATGGTCTCTTCACTTCCCGCAATGGCACAATCAAAATCCAGTCCTTTCTGGCGATTTTCCTTTTTTGGTCACTCTGCCAGTTAGTTCCCAGGTCAGAAAGCAGGACATTATCCCCGAGATCTTGCTCTCACTCTCCCCAGCATCCCAACCATGAGTTCAGTTGATGTTGCCTTTAAACCACACCTTAGGTCTGCCTACTTCTCCTCTCGTATCCCAGAAACCATTCCCTTTATCGTTGCCAGAGTCATCTTTTTGAATTGCTGACCTGCTCATGTTCACCCCTTGTTTAAGATTCCTCCACGCTCACTTTGCACCTCCGGCCAGGTTAAGGGGGCCTTTGCCTCCCAGGTCCTCGTAGTCTGACCCCTGCTGACATTTCCAGCCTCAGCTCACAACCTACTGCCCCTACCCCTTATTCCCTTCAGCCAGGTTGTCTTAAACCCTGTGGTTTTTTCCCCCTGACCCTGGGCCTTTGCAGATGCCTTTCCTGCTGGCTGGCTCCAGGCCTTCATCTGTTTCCCATCCCTAGCTCTAGCTGGGGCCTCTTCCACAGGGCCCCTCCTGGCTTTCTAGACAAGATTGGGGCTTTCATTTCATAGCACCATGCGCTTCTTTGCACTTTCTTTTTCTTTTTTTTTTTTGAGACAGGGTTTTACTTTGTCACTCAGGCTGGAGTGCAGTGGCACAACCTCTGCTCACTGAAGCCTTTACGTCCTAGGCTCAAACGATCCTCCCGCCTAGCCTCCCAAGTACCTGGAACTACAGGTGCATGACCCCATGCTTGGCTAATTTTTTCTGTTTCTCCTAGAGATGAGGTTTTGCCATGTTTCCCAGGCTGGTCTTGAACTTCTGAGCTCAAGCAATCTGCCTGCCTCCCTCAGCCTCCCAAAGTGCTGGGATTACAGGTGTGAGCCACTGCACCTGGCTGCCCAGCCCACTTTCTTCCTTTTTGAGACAGTTTTGCTCTGTTGCCCAGGCTGGAGTGCAGTGGCGCTATCTTGGCTCACTGCAACCTCTACCTCCCAGGTTTGAGCAATTCTCGTGCCTCAGCCTCATGAGTAGCTGGGCCTACAGGTGTGTGCCACTACACCCAGCTAATTTTTGTACTTTTAGTAGAGACAGAGTTTCGCCATGTTGGCCAGGCTGGTCTTGAACTCCTGACCTCCGGTGATTCGTTCGCCTCAGGCTCCCAAAGTATTGGAATTCCAGGTATGAGCCACTGCACCCAGCCCTTTTGCGCTTTCTATGGCTTTAAGTTTTCAGAATTATATGATTGTCTGCTTTCATGAGACGCTGAAATCAAAGCAGACTCTCTACTTCCTGCTGTCCCACTGCAACTATAGCAGCGGGTACAGAGCAGGACACAGCGAAGAATTGCTGAAGGCTGGTGGCGGCTACTTCCAGTGGACGTCTTGGACATTCTTCCCTTGCCTGCCAGTACACGCCGTTGTCCATTTCTCCCTCAGGCTCAGATGCCCTCACTCAGGTGACCCTTCAGTCATAGCAACACCACTTCTTCCTCCTCAGGGGCTACTGAGAAACAGCAGAGGTTTGAGTTAAAAGATAGGAGTTGCTTGTCAGAGTGGAGGAATTGGTTTTGTCTTTTTACTTGAGCCCTTTTGAGTTGTCAGTGTTAGTCTGCAGACCCTGGTCTTCTGAACGTTTCTGCCATAACTGGCCTTCTCCAAGCCTTGCTATCCTGGAGACTCCCTGCCCTGCAGCCTTCTCCAGAGGAGGAGGTTTCCTCATTCACTTCCCAGGTACCTCAGGGCCACTAGTGGGGTTGGTGTCTTCTTGCTCCTTCCTCATTCCTGCTCGCCATGTCTCTTGTGTTGAAAACCCAGTTTTTTGAGGCTCACACCGGCGGCTGTAGCCCTCCTGACTGCTGTCATCCCTTGGTGAAGGTTTCAGTCCATGGCTTAGCCTCTGAGCCTGTTTTGGTTACTGCTGTCATTCTCTGGGCTCTCTGTCTTCCTCATCCACTAACAACCTTTTTCCTTCCATTCCTCTTCCATCATCCACTCATGGATGTGCCCCAGACCTTAGTGCCAGAAATTGTACCCTCTCTGACTTGCCAGTTTCAACAGCCCATCTGCTGACCTCCTAGTTCACTTTGGCACCATGGCTCCATGGCCATGGCTCCGTGACTGCCACCGAGACCTCCAATCCAGACACTGCCAACTCCTGGCTTTCCTTCAGCCCTCCATCCCACATTCACCTTGCCCAACTGAAGAACCACACTCTGCCATCATGAGCCTTGCCTTCCACACATTCGCAGCTCCCTGTCTCCACTGGCTGTCTGCTGGACTAAAACCCCACCCTTGCCAAACCCAGCCAACCACTTGCCTTCTTTGTGCTGCACCCAAGTAGCTGAACATTGTTAGAGGAAAAGTCCATCGTTGGCACGGCTTCATCCTAAGTTATGGGGCCAAGTCTCTGGTGGGCACACACCACTGCTGGGGGGCCTGCTGAGTTTCTCTAGGAGGTTTGACTTCCTGAGCCGAGAGGTCTGTTTCAGGCCTTCTTTTCTCTTCAAACCTCTCTGTTCCTGCCCTGAGCAGGCAGTATCACCTCACTCCCCGGCTGCTGCTTCTCCCCTCTGTCTGCCCTGTAAACCCTCCGCATCCATACCCCTGTCGTCCACTGACCGTGAAGGGCTGCCCTTCCCTGGGCTGCACATTGAGCTCACCGCTTGTCTTTTGGGTCTGACTTTTTGACTTGTCCCTTCATCACTTGTGCCTTCCTCTCCCTTTTTTCATTGGCTGTTTCTTCTCAGCTGTTCTGCCATCCGGATGAACCCCAGTCACCCCACAGAATCGTGAGAAATAATAAACTGGTCACTTGCCTTGTGATCTCCTTGGCCCCACCCCGTCCCTGCTTCCTTTCCCACAAGATTTCTGGCAGCGGTATCTCCTGCCTCTGCTTTCTCATTTCCCCGTCTCCTTTTTTGGAAGACAGGTTTGAAAGCATGGGAAAGTATAAAGAGCAATACAGTAAACACCTTTTATCTCACTGTGCAGAATTAATCACTTATTTTGTCATATTGCTTGATTTCAGTCTTTTTTATATGAATTGATTTTTAACTTTTATTCCATACCAATTTTAGACTTACAAAAACATTGCAAGAATAGTACAGAGATTTCCCATGCACCCCTCCCCCACCGTTCATAATGTGAACATCTCACATAACCACAGTGCAATGGTCAAAACCAGGACACTTACGTTGGTGGAATGGTGATAATAACTAAACGCCTATAATCCAGCACTTTGGGAGGCCGAGGTGGGCAAATCACTTGAGGTCAGGAGTTTGAGACCAGCCTGACCAACAGGGTGAAACCTTGTCTTTACTAAAAATACAAAAATTAGCTGGGCTTGGTAGTGAATGCCTGTAGTCTCAGCTACTTGGGAGCATGAGGCAAGAGAATTGCATGAACCCAGGAGGTGGAGGCTATAGTGAACCGAGATCTCACCACCGCACTCCAGCCTGGGCGACTGGGAATAGAGTGCAACTCCATCTCAAAAATAATAATAACTAAACTATGACCTGAATTGAATTTCAGAAGTTTTCCCACGCATGCTTTCTTTCATTCTGTCTCAAGGTTTAGCTAGATCTCAGCATTGCATTGACTATTTTTTAGTTGTTTTTAACCTGTTACAATTCTTTTGTTATTTATAATCTTTGTATTTGTGAAGATGATTAATATGTTATTTTGGAGAATGTCTCCTCAATTTCAGTTTGTCTGGTGTTTTCTTACAATTGAGGTTATGCATTTTTGGCCGAAATATCACAGAAATGCTATTGTGTCTTCTCAAGAGGTTCATAACATTGATACTCTTTTCTTCCTGGGTGTTTTTTTTGTTTTTTTGAGATGGAGTTTTGCACTTATTGCCCAGGCTGGAGTGCAGTGGCATGATCTCGCTCACTGCAGCCTCAGCCTGCTGAGTTCAAGTGATTCTCCTCCCTCAGCTTCCCAAGTAGCTGGGATTACAGGCATGTGCCACCACGCCCAGCTAATTTTTTTTTTTTTTTTTTTTTTAGTAGACACGGGATTTCTCCACGTTGGTAAGGCTAGTCTCAAACTCCTGACCTCAGGTGATCTGCCTGCCTTGGCCTCCCAAAGTGCTGGGATTACAGGTGTGAGCCACCATGCCCGGCCTCTTCCTGAGTTTTAAATAAATGAAACTTCATAGACAAAGTGAAAAGTCAGTTTAAACCCCTTGTTTCCATTTCCAACCAGTTCTCTCTCCCACTTCTGTTTACTCTTTACCTGCTCCAATCTGACACCTGTTTTCTCACTCTGAAACTGTTCTTGTTTTTGTCACCAACAGCTTCCATATTGCCTAATCTGATGGCCACTCAGCAGCACTGTTAGGGAATGCCACTCTCCTTCCTGGCGGTGCCGCCTGCCTCACCTTACCTCCTGGCCTCTCTTCTTGCTGCCTGAACTTAAACCAGTTTTTCAAGCTGTAGTTTGTGAACCTCTAGTGGGGCATGAAATGTTAGCATGTTGATTGCTTTTTAAAATGAAATAAAGTAGAAAATATTAGTAAGTTGCCCAGTTGTGAGAGTGAGTATTGCTGTGGATAATGTTTGTTTTGGGGGCATGTGTGAGGTACCCCAAAGCATTTTTACTGTGGTGACAGTCAGTTTGAAAGCCATTACTGTCAGTGTTGGGTGTTCTAAGGCCTATGCTGGTTCCTCCTCTTCTGTCCTAGGGATCGAACTCAGTTTGTGAGCTGTAAATATCATCAACATGTTGAGGACTTCCGAATTTGTATCTTTGGCCCAGTCCTTTCTGTAAGTCCCAGCCTACCTGGCAATCTCATGCTATTCTCTTCTTTTTCCTCCATTGCCCTGTTCCAGTGAGACAGGTTTCTCAGTTCCCTGAAGGCATCACTCTTGTTCCTCCCTCAGGGCCTTGTGTTCCCTCCTGCGGGGCTGCTGTGGCTCCTCACACCTCAGGTCTCAGGTCAGTTCAGTGTGGCCTCCTTAGAAATAACCACCCTGCCACACCATCATGCTTGTTACCTTCATGGTCGTGAGCCCAGTCCATAGCTGCATGTACTTGCTTACTGTCTTTTTTTTTTCTCCCTCTCTCTCTCTCTCCATCCCTCCCTCTCTGTCATGTAACTCCCATTGTGGGCAGAGGCCTTATGTGTCTTGTTCTTTGTTGGTTCCCTGGTGCTTAGCACAGTGCCAGGACATAGTAGATATTTCAGTAAGTGTGTTTTGGGCAAATGTATGAATGAGTCTTTATTTCTCAAGCCCAGGTAAATTGTTTCAAGTTGAGATATGGATCTTCTCCTCTGAAAAAGTAGGACCAGCTTTCCCTCCACTGTCACTGGCTGTGGCTAAACCCGTGCGTGGTACAGGAGAAAACTCAGCCATGTCTGTCCAATCCCACTTTTTATCATGCTCACTTTCAGCAGCAATCAGGAAGGTATCTGAAGACTTAGTGATGACAAGAAGATTACTAGTAGTTGGTGCACTCATTCTAGGATTCCCCGCTGTCCTTAACCTGTTGTTTTTCTTGCTTGTGCCTTGGTGTTCCTTTTTCTTCCTCTCCAGATTCTTCTCTCCATACTCCATCTCCCCCTTTCTTCTTACAGTGAATAAATACTGAACTATAGAATTGCGTAAGAATGGGGTGTTTTTGTTTACAATGTTTAGGGCGGTGCTAAAGAGAATTGGAAAGTTTTTATGTCTCTTTCCCTCTTTTCTATGCCCTTTCTGGGAATAGATTGACTCAGCTCTGGAGAAGATTCTGGCTAGTGCTGATGACATGTGTTGACGGTGCCACATGTGATAAAGTCACCTCCCAGAATCCTTGGTTCTAAGTGGATGTGATGTGCAAAATGCTGAACTTATGAGTCCAGCACCCATTTGTCCTGCCATGCCCGGCCCCTGTTTACTTTTGTGTTTGACACTGCACGAGGGTGGTAGGGCGACCACAGTCTCCAGAGCACCAGGGCTGTGCTGCCCCCTGGGGAGCAAGGGAGCATAATGTCTAAGCAGAGACTTGGAGGAGGCTTTGCAGACCCTTGCATAAATGCCCCAGAGAGTTTCTCTGATGTTGGTCTTGGAGTAAGATGGGGACTGTACCTCTGCACTCTACTATAGCATTAAGCAAGTGGTTGGAAACCTTTTCACAACTCAATAGAGATACTAGATATTTGTTGTCATTTTCTAAGGTTTTAAGAAATAAAACCTGTCTGATATCAAATCCCACCCTAAAATTCATTAGCTTAATAGATTGATGTTATTTGTCTATTGTCATATATACACAAAACCACAAATTAGGAAAGAGTGAGCCTCACAAGATAATGGTAAGGCCATAATTGTGGGGGTTATACAAATGATGGTTGTAGACGATAATTGTGGGGGATTACCGACAAATCCATTTGTCCCCACAAAACGTAAAACTGACCAAAATACGTTTTACTTTAATGTGGTCTGATAGCCTTTGAAAGTAGCTTTTCTTTGTTGTTTTCTGCGTAGTAACTCTAGTGCTGTATCACTTCCTAGTAAGAGTGTCTCGGTTTCTCCGTGTTTGGTGATGTGAATGTATTAGAGAATATTTCTCTGGGATCACATTCCTCCACAGCATACTTCTTCACAGGGGGTGAATTAGAATCATCTGAAAGCTTTTTCAAAACAGTCCTGCTGGTGCCTCTTTTTCAGTACTTGGGGGAGGACTAGGAATCTCTGCAAAAGCTCTTTTTATTTTTATTTTTTTTGAGATGGAGTCTCACTCTGTCACCCAGGCTGGAGTGCAGTGACACGATCTCAGCTCACTGCAACCTCCGCCTTCTGGATTCAAGCGATTCTTCTGCCTCAACCTCCCAAGTAGCTGGGATGACAGGTGCGTGCCACCATGCCTGGCTAATTTTTGTATTTTTACTAGAGACGGAGTTTTACCATATTGGCCAGACTGGGCTTGGAACTCCTGACCTCGTGATTCATCTACCTTGGCCTCCCAAAGTGCTGGGATTACAGGCGTGAGCCTGGCCTTTTAAAATTTTTTTTAAAAGAGACTTTGGTGGTGGTGGGGCATCTCACTATGTTTCCCAGGCTGGTCTCTAATTCCTGGCCTCAAGTGATCCTCCTACCCCAGCCTCCCAAAGTGTTGGGATTACAGGCTGAGCCACCGCCTGGCCTGTAAAAACTCTTTACGAGATTCAGGTGCACCTCTGGGTAAGAATGACTCTTTGACTCCAACTGATGGAAACCCTTATGCTGTTTAAGGGGGAAAGGCCAAGGAATGAATTTGCTTTGAGACCAAAGCATGGATTTTGAAGGCAAAATGATGAGAGATCTTACAGTAATTATTAGGACGAAGATAGAACAGACAGCATCATAGAGATTTTAGCAAGAAAACAAACATTAAGTAACAGGAAAAGGCCAGGTGTGCCAGCTGAAAATAGAAACCTGGGATGTGGCCGGGTGCGGTGGCTCACGCCTGTAATCCCAGCACTTTGGGAGGCTGAGGCAGGTGGATCACGAGGTCAAGAGATCGAGACCATCCTGGTCAACATGGTGAAACCCCGTCTCTACTAAAAATACAAAAATTAGCTGGGCACAGTGGCGCGTGCCTGTAATCCCAGCTACTCAGGAGGCTGAGGCAGGAGAATTGCCTGAACCCAGGAGGCGGAGGTTGCGGTGAGCTGAGATCGCGCCATTGCACTCCAGCCTGGGTAACAAGAGCGAAACTCCATCTCAGAAAAAAAAAAAGAAACCTGGGATGCTCCATGATCAGCTGCCCTTTGGACTAGAAAGCCATAGACCCTGAATCTAAATCAGTATTTTCAAGCTTGTTGGACCCATGGGCCAATTTATAGACAGAAGGTCCTTTGGATGCTTTGCTTTAATTAGGCGCACTCAACCAAAAGCAAATCAACCCTCACCAGAATGGATGGTATTGTGGCCTTTGGTGAGATGCCAAGGGTGAGACTCCTATATAGGTTGTGAAATAAACAGAAGCAATAAAAGCACTGATGGATATTTTTCTGTTTTTGGAACTAGTGACCTAAATTAAACTCAGATTTTAAAACTTACCAGTATAGTTTAGTGCTTGCAAGCATGAATCCTGTAAATGACAAGATCTGACTTTGGAACCTCTGTTTTTTCATATTTAAAATGGGGATGCTGATAACAGTTAGTGTCCATGTGAAAGAATACTCATGAGGATTAGATAAAACGCTTCTGTGAGAGTGCTTCTGATGCCTGGCGCATGGCAAACACTCAGTAAACACCTGATTTGTTGCCATCTGTTTTAGGGGGCCGAGACCATGGTTCTGGAGAGCGTTATGTTTGCCATTCTCGCAGAGCGGTCGCTGGGGCCGAAACTCTATGGCATCTTTCCCCAAGGCCGACTGGAACAGTTCATCCCGGTAAGGTTTGTTCATAAATGCTCAGTTGACACGTGCCACACACAGAAGAGGTAAGGTTTGTTCATAAACGCTCAGTTGACACGTGCCACACGCAGAAGAGGTAAGGTTTGTTCATAAACGCTCAGTTGACACGTGCCACACGCAGAAGAGGTAAGGTTTGTTCATAAACGCTCAGTTGACACGTGCCACACACAGAAGAGGTAAGGTTTGTTCATAAACGCTCAGTTGACACGTGCCACACGCAGAAGATGGCTTCTTTGTCTTACTGCTGCAAGAACCTGTAATGCTGTGTGTTTACTGTTAACCTGACCTTTGTCTTTAAACTATGTATCAGAGAAAAGCTCTTTCATGAGAAAAGCAACATTTATTTTGTACTTATAACAGAACCTCTTTCTTTCCTGTAAAGGTGTATTCATCTAAATTTGAAATATGTATGAAGCTTACCATTTTGTTGTCCCCGGAGGCTGTGTACCCTGAAGCTTTGCCCTTTTCACCTTGTTCCTCTCAACTTCTGTGGTCCTGCTTTATGGAACTTGCTGCTGGGCCACCTTGGCCCTGACCATACCTTGCTCTGTCTCTGGCTGTAGCCCTGTGAGGCCATGCCTGTTCTTTCCCATTGCCCTTCCTTGGTTTGTTTTGTGCATTCCCACTGAGGTCCCTACCTCCCATATGCTGTCCCCATATGCTGTTCAAATTCTTAGATTTCAAGGCCTTACTTCAAGACCTTATAGTCTTATTTCTAAGCAGTCACGGTTATTTTCCCTTACTTATTGTCCCAAGGCAGTATTAATGTTGCTGTAACATTTTCCAGTATAACCATATCTTAGGGTTACGTATTCTAAAGCATAGTTCCTGTCCCTCTACCTACCCACCCCTAACTCCATGCCCAGCACAGTGCTTCATGACCAAGTGTTTTCATGAACGCTAAGTGTTGAAGTGTGTCTCTGAGCCCTGGCAATGCTTGTTTGATTGGCAATGCTGGTCCTTATCAGCCTGCACTCCCTTCCTAGACAGTTAAAATATTCCCCATTTTAACTGAGCATAAGCTCCTTGAGGACTAAAGTCATAAGCCGCTAGCTTTCCCTGCCCTGATGCATGAGATATCTTGTCCATGAGAGGCCTGGGCACGTCCAGGGCTGCCCTGTACAGCTGTGCAGACAGAGCCTAGCACTAGGATGCCTGGCAGAGGGGTGCTTTGCTGTGTATGGTTGGGGACCAGGGGCAGGGGTTTCTTTTGTCTAATCCCACAGCCCAGAAACAGGGAGGCTAGTTGTTCTCTGTCTCCCCAGAAGGGGTATCCTCTTCTAGTTGACAGTGGCATGGTCCATCTGTGCTAGCATCGTGCTAGGTCCCAGTGCTGAGGGTGTGTTTAGATGAGTGGATGGTGCCTTTACTGCGCCGGCTTTTACCTGTAGTCTACTCCCCAGCACCTGGCTGTTTTTATTTCTGATTTTCCCAATAGAGACAGTAACATCTGTCAGGCATGAGAAACAAAAGAGAAAAGTTTTTGAAAGAATTTTGCAAATAATAAAACTTCGTATGGTTGTAAGTGGCAATATAGTTGAATCTTAAAAACATAATGCTGAATGATAAAACCAAACTGCAGGAGACTGTAAGTAGTGTCATACCATTTTATGAAACCTGATGCATTTTTAAATTGTTTAAGAATATATGCACATGTAGTAAAAGTTCTCTTTTTGGAAAAGGTAAGGGAATTGTGTTAACACAATTCAGAATAATGAAAATATCTTGGGGACAAAAAGAGCAGCCATCAGGACACATAGATTGTAGTATCTGTGGAATTGATTTTGTTCTAGTTCTTAAGTTCTATCTGTGCTCTTTTGTATATGTTGTTTATTACATATTAAATATTTTTTTTGAGATGGGAGTCTCATTCTCTTGCCCAGGCTGGAGTGCAGTGGCATAATCATAGCTCACTGCAGCATCGAACTTCTGGATTCAAGTGATCTTTTTGCCTTAGCCTTTCAAGTAGCTAGAACCCCAGGTGCATACCAGCACACCCAGCTTATTTAAGAAATTTTTTTGTAGAGATGGGTCTTGCTGTGTTATCCAGGCTGGTCTTGAACTCCTGGCCTCAAGCTCTTCTCCTGCCTCAGCCTCCTACATCACCACGATTACAGGTGTGAGCTACTGCACCCACCCATAGTGAAGATTTTTTAAAAATTCTATTGTATACTAGATTTGAACCATATGACACTGCCAGTCTTTGACTGTTTTTGACCCACAAGCATGGCAGTTTCATTTGACTCAATCTAATATTGTATGTTATTTCTAGGTTTACTTTTTTTTTTTCTTTAAGACAGGGTCTTGCTCTCTTGCCCAAGCTGAAGTATAGTGGCCTGATCTCAGCTCACTGCAGCCTCATCCTCCCAGGCTCAAGCGATCCTCTCACCTCAGCCTCTCGAGTAGCTGGGACTACAGGCATGTGCCACCACATTTGACTAATTTTAATATTTGTAGAGATGGGGTCTCCCTATGTTGCCCAGACTGGTCTCAAACTCCTGGGCTCAAGCAGTCCTCCTGCCTTGGCCTCCCAAAGTGCTGGGATTACAGGCATAAACCATCATGCCCAGATTCCAGCTTAGGTTTACTCTTGACTACTGCTTGGGATCAGGTGATTCAGTTTCATTATTCCTGTAGCCATCTTTCAAAGGGCATGTGAGAATAGTAGGGCCACTAGGGATGGTAGGTAGTCTGTTTCTCTTTCTCTTTGTGCCCAGGGAGGAATTTGGAATACTGAGATTTGTTCATCTTTGAGCATGTTATCTCCAGATTTTTCTTGTTGCCAAATTATTGGCAGTTTTGAAAGCTGAGTGAGCTGCCTTGATAAGTCCCCCGTGCCCTGCTGCTGGCAGTGGAGTCCCTGTCCTTACTGCAGCATGGTCACTTGTTTACAGCGCTGCGGAGACAGTGCTTTCTGGAGGGAGTCAAATAGAAGGTTGAGCCCAATGCTTCCAGTGAGTGCTTAGCTCTCAGTAGCAGACATCTGCCACTTGCTGAGCCACACCCTGGGCTGGGTGCTATCCCAGAGATCTCACCCACATTCTCTCCTCCAGCTCTCCTGGCAACTCTGTACGAGACTTCATGTCCTGATGCCCAGTTGATAGAAATGGGAGCACATAGAGGTATGAGGTAACTTGGACAGCCATGTAGCTTTGAAATGAGAATTAAAGCCACAATTTCAAATGGTGTTTCCCTAAGTTGGGAGCATTCACTTTTTCCCCTGTGCTGTACTGCTTTGCATTTTCACAGAAATCTCTCTCTAGATTTCTGCAGGGTGGCAGATTACATGAGGAATCTCTAGTGGTCTCAGTTGATTGTGAGCTTCCATGAGCCTCCTGTAAAAGGGCAGCCAAACAAGCATGGCCCCGGGCTGATTTAGGGGAAGTGCGGGACGCAGAGGCCAGGAGGAAGGAAGTCTTCCTAGAGTCTGTTTTTTTGCCCAGCTTTGCCCTGGATACCTGCTCTGTGCCAGGCCAGCTGCTGACACCATCACTGGTAGCAGCTAGAGATGGCCCCCCGTCCCCGTGACACATCTCCTGGTTAGGACCTGTTCTAGACCCCACGTCTCACCTGTAGCACATCAGAGTAGAATGTCCCAGCTGATGGAGAAGCTACGAGCTGGGCCATGTGATAAACTGCTGAAGACATGGACTTCAGCACTGGGTAGTGAATAGACATTCCATGTGGCTTTCAAGGGCAAAATAATAGATGATAGGATAGTTTTTAGTTCAATAAAATTTAAGGAAGACCTTCTCGTAGTTAAAAGGGGTTCAGAATGAAATAGATCTTTGAAGGTGGCTGCTCCTCACTGTAGAAGTGCCGTAGCAATTGCTGGGTCACTGCCTGTGGGGACACAGTGTCCATTTTTGGGGCATTGGGTGAGATTTAAATGTACTACAAAAACTGGCTTCTCATTCCTAAGACTGTGTGATCTCACACTTTGTAGGTTATTTGGGTAAATGTCAGTTTTTAACTCCCTTTTCTATTTCAGAGCCGGCGATTAGATACTGAAGAATTAAGTTTGCCAGATATATCTGCAGAAATCGCTGAGAAAATGGCAACGTTTCATGGTATGAAAATGCCATTCAATAAGGAACCCAAATGGCTTTTTGGCACAATGGAAAAGTAAGTGGTGAAATCCCTTGTCCTAACTTAGTTTTACAGTGGCGGCTCCCAGGAGTACCAGAGTGAGCATTTGTTTGCCACAGCAGTCGGGGTCTTCCAATTTCACTGAGATGCAGAGTGTCAGCTGGTGATACTTGTTTCACAGATGAGTCTTCCTGCATGTAAAAGTCAATTACTAAACCAGGAAAGAAGACATGCAGAAATGCTATTGAATGGGTGAAGAGGCAGAAAGTCACCTTTCTAGAATGCCATGAACCCCTAAGACTGCCCCCTTTCCCTCAGTCACGGCAGTCAGAGGGGTCCCACTGCATTGTGACTGCGCTAGGATTGAATGTTTAACCAAAGCCTCAAGAACAAGCCTTGGTGAATTGATCAGTGATTCTTTGTTCTGGGTTTTTTGTTGTTGTTTGTTAATTTTTTAATAGATATCTAAATGAAGTGCTGAGAATTCAGTTTACTGGGGAATCCAGAATTAAAAAGCTTCACAAATTCCTCAATTACAATCTGCCTTTGGAACTGGAAAACCTGAGGTGAGTTTTCCTTCTGTTTCCTGACTTTAAGTATTCTTAGTTACTAAAACTGTTTTCAGTAAACATTGATTAAGCTCGCCTTATGTCCGGTATTTTACATTGGTTTTACAGGATGAATTTAAACGATGAGTTTTGTCATCTGGAATTATGGTTCTCTGTGAATGCCCACATGTGGCCTTTAGTCAGTCTGTGCAGGTTCCATTGAGAAGAAAAATGTTGAAGGAGTGGCTTGGTGGCCAGGGCAGTAGAGTGTCTAGCAGGTGGATTTTCTCTGGTGGGGAGAAGGGAGTAAGGGCAGGCTAGGGAGTGTGAGGAAGATCCCTTCTTCTTAAACTTCAGCCTTGCCTTGGCTCTTGCGGGAAACAGTAAGAATCTCAATGCTGATCTCTGAGGCAGGGCCATCATTATTCTCAGAGTGATACTGGGTGCAGGCCACTCACATCTGTACACTAACAATTATTTATACCTTAATTACTCAGGTATGTGAGTGTCTCCTCTGCTAGGCATGAAGATTTGCTGCTAAGGGAAAACAAGTAAACAAACAAAATAACATCAAATTGTGTTAAATGCTGTGACAGAAACAGATCCGAGTAAGCTCTTAGTCTGCATAGGGAACCTCCTTTGGGTTACTGTTAAGAGAAAGGCTACGGGGGTGCTGTATAAGCCAAGACCAGCAGAGAAAGGGGCTCCAGGAGGGAGCAGCATATACAAAGGGCCTGCAAGGGAAGAGCTGAGGGCTTGCAGGAGAAGAGCTGAGTGCTGAGGGGCTGTGGGGGGTTTCAGATGTGATCTGCTGTGGAGTTGTTGCCACATAATGACATAGTTGTCAGAATTCACATCACAGATACTACTCTGGAACTATTGCTTTGGAGCACACATTGGGTGCTGGCCATGTAAAAAGAGCAGGTCTGTGTGCATCTTACTGAGACACTTGATGAGTAACAGTGAAACCTTTCTTTTCAGATCATTGCTTGAATCTACTCCATCTCCAGTTGTATTTTGTCATAATGACTGTCAAGAAGGTAAGAGTTTGCTGTTTTGTTACAGATGAGGTATGTGTATATACTTAGAAAATTACTGACAGTGTGTCTGAAAAATGCCGTAGTAGCATCATCAAGGGTGTATTAGTTAGATTAAGTTATGACACAACCAGACAATGAGGTTGTGTATTATTTTTAAAAAGTATGAGGCCAGGCACAGTGTACTCATGTCTGTAATATCAGCACTTTGAGAGGCCAAGGTGGGAGGATTGCTTGAGCCCAGGAAGTCTAGACCAGCCTGGGCAACATAGCGAGACTCCATCTCTACAAAAAATAAAAAAATTAGTCAGGGATAGTGGTGTGCACCTGTAGTCCTAGCTATTTGGGAAGCTGAGACAGGAATTTGGCTTGAGCCTAGGAGTTCAAGGCTATAGTATGCTACTGTCACACCACTGCACTGTAGCCTAGGTGTCAGAGCAAGGCCCTGTCTCAAAAAAAAAAAAAAAAAAAAACTGAGAAAACATTCACTAAACTTGGGAATTGGGATAAAGGCCTTAAACTTTCTAAGTTGCATATTATTTTTACAGTGTTTATCTCCTTAGAGTAACATACATTTTTTTTTAACCTGAAAAAGAATGAAAGAGCAAGATCCACTGTCTATCCCAGTCAGTCCCAGGCCCTTCCTTTCTGCACCACACAGCATAGTGGTGCTTATTGCAACACTTGTAATTCCAACACCTTCTCTCCTAATATCAGTGCACTATGCTATTAATTACTCACTCTCTGCTTTGAAAACATGACAATGGGCCAGGCGTGGTGGCTCACACCTTGTAATCCCAGCACTTTGGGAGGCCGAGGTGGGTGGATTACGAGGTCAAGAGATCGAGACCATCCTGGCCAACATGGTGAAACCCCATCTCTACTAAAAATACAAAAAAAAAAATAGCCAAGCATGGTGGCACGTGCCTGTGGTCCCATCTACTCAGGAGGCTGAGGTGGAAGAATCACTTGAACCCAGGATTCGGAGGTTGCAGTGAGCCACTGCACTCCAGCCTGGCGACAGAGCAAGACTTTGTCTCAAAAAAAAAAAAAAAGAAAACATGACAATGATATGTTCCTTACTATAACAAAACTTCATCCCATGCAACTGCGCATTGAACAGTCTCATCAGAGGCCCCTACTGTGCAGCTCCTACTGGTGCTGCTGACATGGCCTCGCTCTGTGTTGACTTTGCCTCCCCTAGTCACGGTAGCTCAGGTCCCACCTTGGGCCCTTCCTTGCCAGGCTGAGCAGTTTGCTTTTAATCCTGAGGACAGTCTCATGAAGACCCGTCATCTCTAAGCCATTCATTTGAGCCAAAATACCTTTTACTAATTAATTAGCTGCTCTCTGCTGGCTAGCTCAAGTCAAGGAGGGTGTAGACATTTCATCTCCAGCTTTGTGTATTATCCTTGCCCTCTGGTGGTGGCGGGGCATAGACATCACCACAGAGCGGGGTCTAGAAGAGATCAGCTGCATTGATGATGGCAAAGTGTAGGAGGGATAGAAGAGATAACAGCTGTACATTAGTTTTGTTCTGCTGATGTGGGTTTCTGCCTCCAATTTGTCTTTTTTTAAAAAAACTATTGCCATGTCACCCAGGCTGGAGTGCAGTGTTGCAGTCATGGCTCATTGCAGCCTTACCCTCTTGAGCTTAAGTAATCCTCCGGCCTTAGCCTCCTGAATAGTTGGGATCACAGGTACACGTGACTATGCCTGGCGAATTGTAGAGATGGAGTCTTTCTCTGTTGCCCAGGCTGGTTTTGAACTCCTGGTTTAAGTGGTCCTCCCACCTCTGCCTCCCAAACTGCTGGGATTACAAGTGTGAGCCAGTATACCTTTTCTGGTCTCTAGTTTATGTTTTAATTGCTACTCAAAATGGAAAAAGTATGCTGAATAGCTTAGAGACTGTACCTCCACTAGAAACCCTGGGGGGAGAGAGTGGCTGAAAACTTAGCAAAGGTTGACTCACTGGTGCCAGCACCAGGATGTCAGAAATACTGAAAGTCATGTCGAGTGTGAGGATCTCAGGAACACCAGGCTGGTGGCCAGTCCACTCCTGACCCAGAATCCAGCACTAAAGGAAGTAGTGTTGTAGGAATGCTGCCTATGGTCTCCTTGGGAAGGAAAACCAGGCCAGGGACAAAGCAGAGGATCCCCTGTGGCAGCTGAGCTCTCCCTAGCCTTTCTCACCGGGAGGACACTCCCACAGCCTCCCAGCTGGGGTGCTGCAGCCAGCTGGCCTGCCGACAGCAAACGAAGTCCCAAGGCAGCTGAGGGTGGTGTTTGGCTAGCCCGAGCTCCTGCATGTCACCTTGCAGAACGTTTGAGAATTACTGCCCTGACAGCAGAGTGAGAGGCCAGGCTCTGTTACACAGTGAGCCTGGGGGTCCAACAGGAACTAGGAATGTGAGCAGGGGTTCTCATGGCCAAGTGGGTGAGGAGTTGCCCTGCACAGGGCCAGGCCTCCCGTGAGCACTTCTCCTACGCTCTTATCTAGGCCCTGGTGATGTCCACAGACCAAAAGCCACATTTGGTTAGTATTTTTTGAAGGGATCAGATCCATTCTGTGGCTCTGCTGTTCCAAGGACTTGAGCTTTCTATTGTAAAACGTAAGCCATGTTATCCAAACCTTTTGCAGGTAATATCTTGTTGCTGGAAGGCCGAGAGAATTCTGAAAAACAGAAACTGATGCTCATTGACTTCGAATACAGCAGCTACAATTACAGGTAATATGTTACAGTCCAGTATTTCCATCTCAATATTGTTTTATGATTATGTCATGCTTATTAAACAATTATAAGAGTAAATAAGTCAAAACACCACTCTGAGTTGCAAGCTGCTTCACCTAGAAGGGATGGCTTCTTGTCCAGTGGTGCATGATGGCTGTGGTGAGGAAGCATGGTCCCCCTTGTTCCTGGCTGATGGCGCTAGTAGGGAGCAGCCATGCAGTTCAGTCCAGACTTTAGCATTTTCTTTTGGCTTCAGAGATCATTTTCTTCTCATAAATCATGGTCGAGGAGACACATTGTTCTGGAGTTGTGGTTCAGGTGCGCCTTTATAGCTTCAGTCAGCTGTGATGCTGACAGTCACCTGATTGGCTCTCTCTGTCATTAAAGCAGTTGCAGTCCTGCTCCCTCAGCAAGTCCAGCTGGCAACAGGAGTGGTGTGCTCAGAACTCAGCCTTTCTTTCTTCTGCAGTCAGGGAGCATCCAGGCATATAGTGTGCCTCATTCTATGCACTGTCTTATCTCTTATTTCAGGGGATTCGATATTGGGAATCATTTCTGTGAGTGGATTTATGATTATAGCTATGAAAAGTACCCTTTTTTCAGAGCAAATATCCGGAAATATCCCACCAAGAAACAACAGGTAGGAGATGGGTTTTTATATACTTGATAGGAAAATTACATGTCAATTTCATGCAGTTAGAATTAAATCATCTTTTTTATTTTTTGAGACAGGGTCTCTGTTTCTCAGGCTGGAGTGCAGTGGTGCGATCATGGCTCACTGTACCCTTGACCTCCTGCGCTCAGGTGATCCTCCTGCCTCAGCCTCCCAAAGTGCTGGGATTGCAGGTGTGAGCCACCACATTTTCATTTTCAGGCCAGGTGTGAGCCTGGCCTACATTTTCATTTTTAAAGATGACCTTTTAAAATTTGGTTTATGTTAAAAAATCTTATTTTGTTTGTTAAATGTAGACACAAACTTGACCTTTTAGTCCAGCTTTTAAAAAATCTCTGTGCCAGAGATACTTGTATTCAGAGAAGAACTTTAGCATCCTTGACAGTTCCCTCTAGTGTTTTCTGAAAAGCCCAGCCTTGATTCTGCTTTCTGGCCATCTTTTTGGGGATCACTGACCTTTTTCTATTCATTTCACACTGTGGAGAGAGAAGTAATCTTTTGGGGACGAGGGTTTAGTAATGGGAAGAAATGTCTTTGGTGTTAACAGTTCTTTTTCCTGTCCTAAATGATGGTAGGATGCAGGTGATTGTTCGAGAATCAGTTCTCAGGGGAACTTTCTCCTGCTTAGTAACAGTGCTGAAGCTGAGTAGGGCTGGGAGAGTGCACCAAGCCTGCCTCCAAAATAATGGTCTCTAGTTTATGTTTTAATTGCTACTGGAAACGGAAAAAGTATGCTGAAGAGCCTAGTTACGGTACCTCCACTAGAAACCCTGGGGAGAGAGAGCAGCTGAAAACCTAGCAAAGGTTGGCTCACTGGTGCCAGCCCCAGGATGTTGGAGATGGTAATGTCATGTCGAGTGTGTGTCTCCCAGGGTGTCAAAGTAGATGTGTATGCTTCGTGACAGCTGTTGACATTGTCTGTTTTAACCATCCTAACATAATTACTTTTTTTTAAGCTCCATTTTATTTCCAGTTACTTGGCTGCATTCCAAAATGACTTTGACAACCTCAGTACTGAAGAAAAATCCGTTATAGAAGAAGAAATGTTGCTTGAAGTCAATAGGTAACATTTTTCCTTTTCAATTTGTAAAAATAGCTTTCCTCTTTATAGACTATATTTGGGATGCTTACTTGCAATTATGAGTATTTTAGAAGCTTCTTTTGTTTTTCGTTTTTTTTGAGACAAGAGTCTTGCTCTGTCACCCAGGCTGGAGTGCAGTGGCGCAATCTCAGCTCACTGCAACCTCTGCCTCCTGGGTTCAGATGATTCTCCTGCCTCAGCTTCCCGAGTAGTTGGAATTACAGGCGCCTGCCACCATGTCTGGCTAATTTTTTGTAGTTTTTAGTAGAGATGAACTTTTGCCATGTTGGCCAGGCTGGTCTTGAACTCCTGAACTCAGGTGATCTACCTGCCACGGCCTCCCAAAGTGCTGGGATTACAGTTGTAGCCACCATGCCCACCCTAGGGGCTCCTTTTAAATCATACATCTTTAAGACTTGTGCTTTCTCAAAAATAGAATCTCCTACTTCTCTATTGTGGCTGAGACTATGCAGATCTTTTAGATCTGAGCACACAGCAGGCAAAGTATATTACTCTGTTCTCACATGCGTAGAAACATACTACCTGAGAGTGGGTAATTTATAAAGAAAGAAGGTTTAATTGACATGGTTCTGCATAGCCAGGGAGGCGTCAGGAAACTTACAATCATGGCAGAAGGCAAAGGGGAAGCAAGGGACATCTTACTTACGTGGTGCCAGGAGAGAGACAGAAGGAGAGAGGGAGAGAAAGAAGAAGGTGGAACCACCCGACATTTTTAAAACCATTAGATCTCATGAGAACTTCCTCACTATTGTGAGAATAGCATGGGGGAAGCCACCCCCATGATCCAGTCACCTTCTACCAGCTCCCTCCCTCCACATGTTGGCATTACAATTAAAGATGAGATTTGGATGGGGACATAGAGCCAAACCATATCACATGAAGAGGTCCCATGTCCAAGAAGGGTCAGGACACTTTGTGGCATTCTGAACTGTCATCCAGACAGAACAACCCAGCCATACAAGGCTGCTGCCACCCAGGGCCTACAGATTCTTTTGTTTTTTTTTTGAGGGGGACAGGTTCTTGCTCTGTCACTCAGGCAGGAGTGCAGTGATGCCATCATGGCTCACTGTAGCCTCTAACTCCCAGTGACCCTCTTGCCTCAGTGTCCCAAGTAACTGGGACTATAGGCATGTACCACCATGCCTGGCTAATTTTTGTGTTCTTTTGTAGAGACGGGGTCTTGCTCTGTTGCCCAGGCTGGTCATGAACTCCTGGGCTCAAGTGGTTCTCCTGCCTCAGCCTCCCAAAGTGCTAGGATTACAGGTGTGGGCCACTGCACCTGGCCCTGCAAGCTTGTCACTGATGCTTGTGGAGTGGTAGGCACCGTCTGCTGTGTTGTGACTCTTAAGTTTTTCCTAGAAAATGATTAAACTCATGTTTATATCAGTATTAAGTCTTGCTTTTAATTGTTTTCTCAACAGTTTTCAAAGCAGGGCCCTGAAACTTCCAGATTCTGCGAAGGTCTAGACCACTATTTTTCCATCTCTTTAGTCAAGAGGCCTGTGGGTTATTCCTATTCTTTGGGGTCTCCTGTAACATTATTTGGTAAAATGGCTGTTTAAGTCACTGTGGCCCACCTCATCTTTCCACTGCACCTACCACAGTCATCTCCTCCTGGCCTCCAGAGTGCTTACCCCCACACTAAGTGCAACGTCACCTCTGCCTGCCTGCCAGTCCTCACTGCAGCATACATCATCTTTTTCTGTTTCTTGAACTGGTGGAAATAGAAAAAGGCAGTTGGAAGAGAACCCAGACAGAAAGGGGTAGCACAAGTGACTTTTGTGGTCCTGGGACCACAAAATGAACAGAGATTAGGGTTGGAGGATACTAGAGGAGGCACTCCTAAATTTGAGCTTTACCTTCATGTGGATGAACCCTCAGGGTATTGTTTGAGGAAGAACTTGGATTTGCAGTGACTTGTGGGGGGCGTGGTATAGCCTAGAGATGGTGATGTGGCTCATGCTCTCTCATCTGCTCTTTTCAATTCTGTGATAAGAGGGGATGGGACAAGGATGGGATTTGAGAAGGCTCTGGCTCAAGGAGTGAGAGCTTCATCCCACCTCCAGCAGAGGCCTGCCTCTTGGTTGATGATGCTGTGGCCCCTCCCTTGTAGCAAGCTTGCTTGCTTTTCTGCCAGCATGGTCACCTAGGCCTCCACCTGCATCCTGTGAATGTCGTCGTGTGTGCCATGGCTAGGCAGCTGCGTGTGTTCACACTCACAAGTGCACCTATCACTAGCAGAGGAGGGAAGGGTGTGGGAGTGATAGTCCCATTGCTCTTAATTAGTCCCATGGAATATAGACCCATGATTTGCCAACACTAACTAGGTTTTGCATCCACACAAGTTAAAATGTCCACCTGGCATGAAATTATTTTATCAGTCCTGTAACTGATACTGCGTATCTCATATGTGTTTCTTGATTTTGTCATTCCAGGTTTGCCCTTGCATCTCATTTCCTCTGGGGACTTTGGTCCATTGTACAAGCCAAGATTTCATCTATTGAATTCGGGTACATGGTATGTTTTAGCAGCTTTTTTTTTTTCCTTCCTACTCCCAAGAAAAAATGCTACAGTATTTGTGAATGCTCCACAGCAAATGACTGTTTCTTACAGAGGATTCTCTGTCTCCCCAAGTACCTGAATGTGGTAACCTGGTGGCACCAGGACACTGTGGCTGTCAGAGGAAGCTGTGGGAGAAGCCGCTCTCACTAATGCTGTGGTTGCCTTTGGAGGTTGCCCTCACTTCCAAGACAGCAGACCCCTGCCTCTCCTGCTTCAGAGAAGTGCCAGGTGGTCCAGCAGTCCTGCAGTGGAGAATGGAGGCATTTGCACCCTACAGGTCCAGCTCTGACCTCAGCCCTTTCCGACACGGGATAGTAGGTGAAGAAGAGTGGGTGCTCTTGCCCGTGCTCTGGAGGGTTTTATTTAGCGGTTACCACTGAATTCTCCAGCCTGTAGTACCCGATTTCGAGTTGGAAGCTGGTAATTACTAAATCAGACCTTCTGTTTTTTGCAGGCATGTTTGTAACCAAGCTAGGCTGTCATTTTTTTCCTAACGTTAAGAACCGCTAGCCGGGTGCAATGGCTAATGCCTGTAATCCTAGCACTTTGGGAAGCTGAGGTGGGTAGATCACCTGAGGTCAGGAGTTGGAGAGAAACCTCGTCTCTACTAAAAATACAAAAGTTAGCCATGTGTGGTGGCGTGCACCTGTAATCTCAGCTACTCGGGAAGCTGAGGCAGGAGAATTGCTTGAATCCGGGAGGTGGAGGTTTCAGTGAGCCAAGATCATGCCAGTGCACTCAGCCTGGGCGACAGAGCAAGATTCTGTCTCAAAAAAAAAAGTATTTTTAACCTTCAGATGAACCTTTCTGTTGTCCCATAGTGAATGAATGTTGGTGGGGTGATTGGGGTGGGGGACAACATACACATGTCTGTAGTCTAGAGAGCTGCCTTCCTTTGAGACAGGGACGGGACTAGTTCATTGTGTCTTCCTCAGTCTTAGACTAGAATGATTTGTACTTCTAGGCCAGAGGTTTGGTAATGCAAAAATGATATTAGGTAAATCAAGGGGACATTGGATTTTTAAAGCAGGTTTGAGTCCTGGTCAAGTGATACTGTAAGAAAATACGCTTCGTAATACTAGAGATACAGAAGGGTATTTTGAATAATAAAGGCATCCAGCAGACATTAAAAACCCTCATCTTGCTTCAAAAGACGTGATACCAAAACTGACAAAAGTGAAAGGTAGATTCATGATTAAAGTAGGAGATCTTGGCCAGGCGTGGTGGCTCACACCTGTGATCTCAGCACTTTGGGAGGATGAGGCGGGTGGATCACTTCAGGTCAGGTGCTTGAGACCAGCCTGACCAACATGGTGAAATTCCATCTCTACTAAAAGTACAAAAATTAGCCAGGCATGGTGGTACATGCCTGTAATCCCAGCTACTTGGGAGACTGAGTCAGGAGAATTGCCTGAGGCAGGAGGTAGAGTTTGCAGTGAGGTGAGTGGGCGCCATTTTACTCCACCCTGGGCAACGAGCTACGCTCTGTCTCTTGAGAAAAAAAAAAAAAAAAAAGGTCTCACCACTTCTCTGCTGTGGTTAGAACAGGAAGAACACACACAGAAAGAGAGGGCCTGACAACTCTCTCTGCCAGCCTGGCCTTCATGTGCGTTCATTAAACCTCCCAGCAACTGCAGGGTGAACATTCTTTTCAAATGAATGTGGAATATTCCTCAAGATAGACCATATCCTAGGCCATGAAACAGGTCTTGATAGATTCAAAGGAATTGAAGTAATACTGGATATGTTCTCAGTGAAATTTAATTAGAAATTGACAACAAAAGATACCTAGAAAATTCCCAATTATTTGGAAATTAAACAGTACACTTCTAAATAAACCCTGGGTCAAAGAAATTTTTTAAAACATGAGAAAATATTTTAAACTGAATTATAATGAAAACATAGCATGTCAGCATTTCTGGGAGATACATAAAGCAGTATTTAGAAACGTACAGCTTTGTAGCTTAAATGTTTACATTCCACAAGAAGAAACATTACACAAAATCCCTATTAAAACATTGACAAAAAGTAAATCCACTAACATTTATAAAAGGATAATATGACCAAGTAGCATTTATCCCTGGAATGCAAGGCTGGTTTATAATTGAAAAATCAGTTAATATAATTCTTAATATTAACAGAATGAACGTGAAAACCACATGATTATCTCAGGAACTACGGGAAAACGTATTTGACAGAATTCAATGAGATAAAAAAAAATTCAGCAAACTAGGACTAGAGGGGATCTTCCTCAGCCAGATAAAGGCATGTATGAAAAACCCATGGCCAACATTGTCACTAGCGGTAAAAGGAAAATGCCCCCCGTTACCCCTGCCCCAACTACAGAATATGTAAAGCGCTTGTTCTCACTGCATCTCTTCCGGGTTGAACTGGAGCTCCTAGCTGGCGCAGTGAGGCCAAAGAAGGGAAATGTAGGCGCCCTGGGAAGGAAGAAACACTGCCTTTATTCTTTAGAAGACATTTAAAATAATAAAGGTATCAAGAAAAAAGTTACTTAACCTAATGAATGACTTTATCAAGGTCACAGAATACAAGGTCAGTATACAAAAATCAGTTATATTTCTACATGCTAGAAACAATTGTACCTGGAAAAATGTTTAATATGTGTCAGATATGTACATTGAAAACTATAAAAGAGTATAAAAAATAAAGCAGCAAAATAAGCAGGGAAGAGAGCACCATGATGGATGGAAGCCTTAAGGTGAAGATGTCCATTCTCCTCACACTGACCTATACATTCTCCATAGGCCTAAGCAAAACCCCTACAGGTGTCTGTGTAGAAACTGACACGCTGATCCTAAAACTTACATGAAAATGCAAAGAGTGAGGAATAACCAAAATGACTTTGTAAAAGAACAAAGTTGAAGACTTCTGCTACCTGGTTAGAAGACTTCTTTGAAGCACAGACGTCAAGGCAGTGTGGTGCTGGCATAAGATGACATAAATCATCTGGGTGTGGTGGCTCATGCCTGTCATCCACATATACTTTGGGAGGCTGAGGTAGAAGAATCACTAGAGCCTAGGAGTTGGAGACCAGTCTGGGCAGCATAGCAAGACCCCATCTCTACAAAAGGTACAAAAACAATTCGCTGGCTGCTGTAGCACATGCCTGTAGTCCCAGCTCCTCGGGAGGTTGAGGTGGGAAGATCACTTTAGCCTGCAGTCAGGCCAGCTGTGGTCCTGCCATTGCGCCCCAACCTAGGCAGCAGAGCAAGACCCCGTCTCAAAAAAAAAAGACATAAATCAGATGGAACAGAATCAGTGCCCAGAAAGAGACCCACATGTATACAGTTACCTCGTACTCAACAGAAAGGCCAAGGTAATTTATGAGGGAAGGGATTATATTTTCAAAAAAATAATTAAAGAACCAACTCAAGAGTCACATGGAGAAAAAACTGAAACTGACGTCATGCCATACACACCAATCAACTGAAACAGATAATAGACCCCAATGTGAAGGCTAAAACTATTCAGTTTCTACAAGAAAATACAGGAGAAAAGCTTGGTGACCTAAGCACAGATTTTAAAAAAAATAAAGCACTAGCCATAAAAAAAAAAAAAAAAAAAAAAAAAGAATAAGTTGCTATGAGTGGGAAACACATGAAAAGCAAAGTACTTTTTCCCGTTTCCCTTCACTAGCAGCAGCCACCACAGAAAACACAAGCGACCACATCAGGCCGGTTCTCCCACCAACAAACAGGCCATCAGTGCTGGAGCGGGCGCAGCTGGGTGTCCTCCAGTTCCATTCTGACACTGTCTACCCCAAGACTGCCCACACCCCACTTCTGACACCAGTTGCAAGTACAGGCCTCCAGAATTCCTACTAATCAGCCATATATTGGGGTTCCCACGTTCCCCTCCTTGGGTTCAGTTGATTTGCTAAAGTAGCTCACAGATTTCAGGGAAACACATAAATTCACCAGCGTATTACAAAGCGTATTTTTGTTGTTGTTATTGTTTTAAAGACAGGGTCTCACTGTGTTGCCCAGGCTGGTCTACAACTTCTGGGCTCAAGTGATCCTTGTCGCAACCTTTCAAGTAGCTGGGACTACAGGCGCTCGCCACCATGCCTAGCTAACAAAGTGAAGAGATACATACATGGGATGAGGACTGAAAGGGTTCTGAGCACAGGAGCTTCTGTCCCTGTGGGTGGGTGGGGAAACTCATTCATGTTCACCTTCCTGTCAGCCTACACGTGTTCAGTTCTCTAGAAACTCTTGGGCATTTTATGGAGATGTCATTGGATAGGCATGATTGAAAAATGGACAACCATGTTGAAATGTGATTGGACAAAAGATGTGATCTGAACCCAGCAAGGCCCTGACCAGGTTCTTCTGGCCTCTCTGTACAGCTTTCCTTCCTCCAGGGTAAAGGGCAGAGCCCTCTGGAATAAGGGTCTTGTGACCCACAATCAGATTAGAGTCTAGCTTTGGGCAGGTGAAAGGAGGGCAGAATGTCAGAGAGAGATTCTCTTTACTCTAGTAAGGGGTATGGGAGTTATGAGCCAGGGACCGTGGACAGAGACACATGGGTATCATCCCAGTCAGACTTCATCAAAACAAAGAACTCTTTGAACAGTATCATTAGGAAATGAAAAGACAAGCCGCAGACGGGGAGAAAATACTACAGATGTGTATTTCATAAAGGACTTGTATTTAGGGTATATAAAGAACTTATAACACAGCCAGAAACCAAACGTCCTGTTTTATAAATGGATGGAAGATTTGGACACTTAACAGATGAGAAACACATGGCCAGTAAGAATCTTTTCATGTGTTTCATATAATTAGTCACTAAAGGAATGTGAATCAAAGCCTCATACCTACACGCCCACAGTGATGGCTAAAACTTGAAAGAACTGACAGTCCCAGGTGTCAGCAAGCAGATGGAGCAGTGGGAATGCGGCCTGGGACAGCCAGTGTGAAGAGGCATTATACCTCCCCGCAGCCCTCCTGGGGACTTCTCCCAGAACAAATGGAAGCAGATTCTACACCAAGACTTGCGCTCATACACTCACAGGAACTTCGTTTATTTATGGTCGGTTTGTTTTGAGACAGAGTCCAGAGTCTCGCTCTGTCACCAGGCTGGAGTGCAATGGTGCGATCTCAGCCCACTGCAGCTTCCACCACTTGGGTTCAAGTGATTCTCCTGCCTCAGCCTTCTAAGTAGCTGGGATTACAGGCTCATGCTACCATGCACAGCTAAGTTTTGTATTTTTACTAGAGACAGGGTTTCACCATGTTGGCCAGGATGGTCTCGATCTCTTGACCTCCTGATCCACCCGCCTCAGCCTCCCAAAGTGCTGGGATTACAGGCGTGAGCCACTGTGCCCAGCCTTATTTGTTTTTTTGAGACAGTCTTGCTTTTGTTGCCCAGGCAGGAGTGCAGTGGCCTGATCTTGGCTCACTGCAACCTCCGCTTCCTGGGTTCAAACAATTCTCCTAACAGCCTCCTGAGTAACTGGAATTACAGGCGCCCACCACCGTACATGGCTGATTTTCATATTTTTAGTAGAGGGGGTTTCACCATGCTGGCCAGGCTGGTCTCCAACTCCAGACCTCAAGTGATCTTCGTGCCTCAGCCTTCCAAAGTGCTGGGATTACAGACGTGAGCCACTGTGTCCGGCCTGCAGCTTCATTTGTAATGTCCCAAATTAGAGTAGCCTAAATGCCAGGCAGCAGGTGCGTGGATACTACAGTACAGGATCCATGGACTGAGAACATTCGGCAGTGCAGAGGACGGCGGCACCAATGCACAACAGCATGGATGGCTCAGAGACATCACGCGGAGTTAGGGGCCAGACACAAGAGGCTGCACATTGTACGGTGCATTTATGTGCTACTCTAGGAAAGAGAAGTCCGATCTATAGTGACAGAAATTGGGTCAGTGGCTGCCTGTGGCCAACTGCAAGAGGCCCAAGGGAACGTCTAGGGATGCTGGAAAGACAGGTCTCCTGACTGCAGTGCCGGTGAACTGGCTGAGTGCGTCTGTGAAAGCTCTCCACCTGTACGTTTACAGTGGGCTCCTGCTTGTGGAGTAGAAATTACAACTCAAAGTTAATTTTCAAAAAAGTGACCTTGTAATCTTCCTGGCATCTAGAACTGCAGACTTTGCGATTAGGAGTGGGTCTTTGAGATTGTGTTGTCCTCATTGATGAACAGAGAGGGAAGAGACTTAGAAAAATATAGTGGCAAAAAACAACGCTGAGCCAGGTTTTCTCCGCGGCCTCTTAGTGTCCTTTTTAAAAGTCATGCTGCAGGAGATCCTGGTAGACAGGCGGCATCTTTTTTCTCGCCTTCTGTTCAGGATTTGCTTATGTTCCTGACCTTTTATTCTAAAAGGTGTGTTATGTTGATCAGTCAGTGCCTACAGCACCCAAGGTTAGCAAGGTGATGCATGGTAGCAGTGCCAAGTATGTGGACAAGAGAGGCAGGGCCTCCTGAGAGTGAACGTTTGCGGGTGGGCTGGGAGCTTGAGGAGCCTGCACCTGTGCAGCAGCCAGGCCCCTGAGCAGCCCTGCCTCACAGGCCGGTCCTGTGCTGATGGTCTCATGGGTCTGTGCCCTCAGCTGTTGATGGGTGGGGGTTGGGGGATACATGGGCAGGGTTCAGGCCAGCTCTTGCTGAGGCCTTCTCTTTGCTGTCTCCTAGGACTATGCCCAAGCAAGGTTTGATGCCTATTTCCACCAGAAGAAGCAGCTCGGGGTGTGACTGTGGGGAGGACTCCATCCACCTCATCACTGGACTGCATGGGAAGGCAGCGGAGCAGGGTCCCCTCTGTGCTTTGACTACTGCTCCTGCGGCAGGAGGCTTTGGGTGGCTCACTACTGAACACAGATGTGTGTGATACATTTAATTCATCTGTTTATGATTTCACTAGGACTCAAGACTGGGAAGCAGAAATATAGTGCAATAGTGCAACACCTCTGAATCCTTTTCATCTAGAGAAGGCGTTTCATATTTGGGGACTAAGGTTTCCAGTGAGATACAGCAGACAGCATGAGTAAGCAGTGTTGCTTGCAGGTACTGTGGTTAATGTTGATTTAATTTTTTTTCACGAATGTGCTGGTGAATACTGTGACCACACTTTTGTAGATGGCGACGTGTTAGACACTGCTCACTCCCGAGGCGTGGCAAGTGAGCAAAGAGGTACTGTGAAGCCGCCAATCACTGCTGCAAGGTGGCCTCTGCCTGGTGCCCCCAGAAGCTGCTCCTCTACCCTCTTGGTCCCCTGGCTGAAGCTGGAGCAGCCGAGGCCACCTGCATGTGGAGTGGGTGTGTTACATTGCTGAGTGTCATTGTACCACATGTGACTTCTCCCCTGCCCTTCCTCCTGATGGAGTGTGCAGACAGCTGTGCGTGGCCATGGGGGCGGTGTGAGGACCTCCCTGTCTCCTGCCTCCCCTCCCAGGGGAGCCAGCTGCTTGAGCCAGCCCTTTGGGCCTCTCCTGCCTTCTACTCTGTCTGGAGCTTCGGATCCTGTGAGTGAGCTGGGCCGCACCTGGGCTCTCTGGGGGCCTGCTTTCCCAGCCCTCACCTTTCCTGATGTCCCTGACATAGTCACTCTTGTGGAAGACAGCAGCCTGTATGTGGTGCAGGGCGTGGAACGAGTGTAGCTGTGAAAACCGTATGTATGAAATGTCCCATGGGTACAGTCAGAGCTGACTCTTCTTTACTCAGAACTCATTTGAATTGTTTTCTGTGCATATATTTCTGCTACCACAGCGATTGTACTACACAAATAAAAACCCAACCTCAAGCTGTCACCCTTGGTTGTGTCCTTAATCTCAGGGAGGGCTCCTGGTATCTGAAGGAGCCCACAGAGGGCTCCAGCTGCACCCACCCCGCTCCTCAGCTCAGCAGGGCCCCGCCGCTTTCAGCTGGCATCCCAGCAGCATGTGGCCCCATCGGCCCCCGTCCTTCTCCTCCTTCCTGCCACACTCTGGTTTCCCTTCTTGTGACCCATATGTGAAGAGCCCTGGAGGATGCTGGAGACCGGGAGCTGTGCCGGTGCCTGGGGACACAGCAGCTGGGCAGGGCAGTGGGCAGCTTGCGCCATTCACCCTTCTGTAGAGTTACAGCTTTAAGCAGATGAAGCCAAGCTGAATTAAACAGTAATGGTGTCACACACCCGCACAGGAGCTCTGGTGGCTTCTCTCATTGTCTTCCTGTGCCAAGGGCCCTGCTAACCTCGCTCAGCCCTTGCCTCTGCCTGCTCCCTTGCACGTGAGCTCACTTGCAGTCTCCTTGTGGAGATATATTTGGAGCTGACCGTCAAATACCGGGCTCCTTGACATGCTCTGCGCTCAGCTCAGTCACCATCTCAGGCCGTGCTGTTGTATCCAGGACACTGCCATTCCCTAAACCCCCTGGGCCCGGCCCTGGCCTGTCGCCTCTATCTATCCAGCTTAACCATCCTGGTTCCCCCAGTGGTCTCTGCATCAGGTCACAGCTCACTTGGGCGGGGATGGGTTCAGGCCTATCCTGTTCACTGCTGAGTCCTCCACGCAGGTGACCCACCTATCCCTGTGTCTCCCGATGACCTCCATGCCGCAGAGGTGCCCACCCCAGTGCCTTTTTCTGTGCTATTCTCATGGCAACTGGACTTCTCCCCAGCACTGCCAGGTACCCCCATGTCAAAGCCAGGGCAGGGCCGACTGGTCATCTCTCTGGGATCCCACACCGCACTGTTCCTAAATCATTGGCCACTCATCCCAAGTGCTGCTCACCTATCCCCACCTCACTGCCCACCCAGAGTCTGCCCAGCTCTCGCCCCAGGAGGGAGTAAGGCCTGAGGTTCTGGACTTGGTCCAGATCCATGCACAACTCTGTAGTGGAGCCCTTTGCTCAGCCTCCTGTTTCTACCCCACTACGGTGAACACCGTTCCAGCCAAGTCTGCTAGACATGTGGAATTAGCTCAGAGCCCCTCATACTGCCCCTGGCATCGGGGGTCCCGAGCAGGGCAGTCCAGGAGCCAATGGACAGGCTCCTCCCAGCAAGCTGGCTACAGCCACAGCCGTGGCAAGAACCACTTTGCAGCTTCTTGGCCTTTGGGAAGTACTGGCTCTGCCTCCCAGCAGAGGTGGACCCCAGGCCAGAGGGAACTGGAGAAAGCCATCTCCCATCCCGCCAGTACGCAGGAAGGACCACCAGGGAGGGGTGGGGTAGACTATGGCCTCAGATGAGGGGAGGCCAGGCCTGGAGTTGGGCTCAACCCCTGTTCTGACCCCCGGGAGCCTGGGTGATGTTTGCTGCTCAGGATACCCTCTGCCCTTCCTGGCAGGCGTGTGGCCTTGGGCATGTGACACCATGGCCCTGCATGGAGCACTGGCCAGGCTCAGGTGCCTCAGGCTGTTTTGTACCTCCAGCCCCACTGAGGCCTGGCACCAGGGCTTGGATATTGGCACCACTTCTCCCAGAGAGTAACCCAGACACCTGCACACAGCCAGCTGTACACATCCAAGGATGGGGAGCTCACTCCCCTGACCTGGCCTGGGAAGACATTTCCTCACTCCAAGTTAGAATGTGCTAGAAACATCCCTCCTTGGCCCTATTCTGCCCTTTTTCACCCCAGGAGTCTGGGGTTACTGCAGATCTGCTCATGGGTCCTCACCTCAACTTTTCAAGGTCCCGGGTTCTAGACCATGCCTTCCCCCCGCACCTGCCTCAGCTAGAAAGGAGGGAAGAGAGACGAGACAGCAGTGCCGTGGCGGACCCTCTTTATTCCTCTCCTGCCTCAGGTCAGGACGGGGGGTCTGGCAGGACCTGCAGTGGGTCCTAGTCCTCTGCGGCAGCGAAGGTGAAGGGACTCAGCTTGTAGCCCGTGCCTGAGTAGAACTTGTTCTGAAATTCCACCCTGGGGTGAGAAGGAGGGGTTGGCGAGGGGAACCCCTTGCCTTGAGCAGCCCAAACCAGTGGGTAGTTGCTCACCAGTGCAGCCTCAGGGCATGCAGGAAGGCCGAGAGCCCCTCCATCACCAGCAGGATGGCCACAGTCATCACAGCGAAGGTGGCAAAGATGGGGACCAACACCACGGCTGCCACACCCACCTCCCGGCCCAGGCCCAGGCCTATGCGCATCACCATGGCCCACAGAACCTCCGACAGCTCTGCGGGTGAAGGAGGGGACAGTGGGGACCAAAGGCAAGTGGGTGCCTGCCAGCTCCCCACCTACCTGTCACAGCCTGAAGCCCTCCCTTCCCCAGGAAGGCCGGTGAGGGACCTCCTTGGACAGTCCCACTTTACAAAGGGGAAACTGAGGCTCAGAGAGAAGTGACCCTCCCAACTAGCAGCCGTGTGTGAGGAACGAGGACCCAGGGCCAGCCCCTGACAGCCAGGTCACTCACGGGCGTGGGCCAGGCTTAGGGCCCACAGGCGCAGGTAGGAGGCGGTGTTGGAGACGCAGCCCAGGCAGAACTCGATGGTGTGGATGGCCTGGTGCATGAACACCTCGGAGGGAACAAGCTGCGGGATGCGTGCAGTGAGGGCCGGCAGGGCCACAGTCCCCCCACTCCCTAGGAAGGCACCGCACCCACCTCGGCCTCCTGTTCGTCCTCCAGGCCCCCTGCCTTTTCCTCATCAGAGCCCCAGCAGTTCACAGACGCATCGGGCAGGCCTAGCAACCCGGCCTTGTCTTCCTGCTGGGGCAAGAGCAGGCAGCGTTGGCAGCGCCCCAGCCGGGAGGGCCCCTGCCGCCCGTCAGGCCAGCTCCCGGCCGCTCAGGAGCCCATGAGGAAGTGGGGTGTTAGGGACCCGCTCGACAGTGGCCTCTCCTCCCAAGCAGCTCCCTACACCTCAGGTCCTGGTCCCACCTTTCGGCCAGTGGGCCTCCTCCGTCTGCGGCGGTGGCGGTGCAGCAGGTGCAGGGGTGTGCCGAGCAGCAGGACAGGCACCATGGCCAAGGCCAGGACCACCAGCATGGCCTGGACCACCTCCTGCCAGGGAGAGGCCAAGAGTCAGGGTGCCCCCGCTGTGCACCCCTGCACAGGAACCTGGGTCACAACAGTCACAGGGCCCAGAGAGCCTGCAGCCGCTCCTCCCTCCAGGGTCCCCGGGGGTGCCCTCACTGAGCGGGGATCTGGCTCCAGAAGGACTCCTAAGGGAAGGGACCCCAGGATGATGATGCACGCTGTCATCTCTGATGGCCCTGTCTGAACGGCCCAGGGCCTGCATCCCATTTCTCAGGCTAGGATCCCGCAGCTCCCAGTGGCCCAGTGACTATGGGGTCCTGTGAGGCTGTGTGAGCCCAGGCCCCCTGCCGCAGCCCACCTGCCGAGGGTAGAGAGGCCGGTTGGTGGGGCTGTGGGAGAACAGGAACATGTTGATGAAGTGGATGAGGATGCTGGGGGCCGAGGCAGCGTTGGTGGCCGAGACACGCAGCCACTTGTAGATGACAAGGAAGACGAGGTAGCCAAAGAGCCCCAGCAGGAAGGTGAGCTCCGGCAGTGTCTCCAGCAGCAGCCGGTGCCTCTGGCCAAAGTGCCTGGCAGGCAGGAGGAAAGCGCAGTCACTGGGGCCTGCTCTGGCCCGCCAGCCTCCCGTGCCCCTGGGCAGCCTTGACCCTCACATGTGGTTGAAGACTCCGAGGACCACCCCAAAGGCCATGTGCACGACCCCCAGGATGACGGACATCTTCATCTTGAAGGAGTTGAGGAAGCTCAGGTGGTTGGCAGCCAGGCTCCAGATCTGGGATGGGAGCAGGAGCAGGCTGGACTCAGGGGCTCCCTGGCCACCACTGCCAGGAAGTCCCCATCCCGAGTCACTCTCCCATCACCCTGTTGTCCCCCTCGGAGCCTGCAGCCTCATCCATTGCCCACCCACCAAGGAGCAACAGAGCACAGATGGCCCAGCTGCCACGGCTCCAGCCTGGGTGCCCCTGGGCATGGCCTCTGTGCCTCAGTCTCTCCACTGTAGGTGAGGACACTGTTAATGTGCGGCCTCCAGGGCTGTTATGAGGTTGTTACAGGTTCAAATAGAAAATCAGACCAGGCGCGGTGGCTCACACCTGCAGCCCCAGCACTTTGGGAGGCTGAAGTGGGTAGATCACCTGAGGTCAGGAGTTCAAGACCAGCCTGGCCAACATGATGAAACCCTGTCTCTACTAAAAATGCAAAAATTAGCCAGGCGTGTTGGATATGCCTGTAATCCCAGCTACTCAGGAGGCTGAGGCAGGAGAATCTCTTGAACCCGGGAGAGGGAGGTTACAGTGAGCCGAGATTGCACCACTGCACTCCTGCAACTTGGGCAACATAACGAGACTCCATCTCAAAAAAAAAAAAAAAAAAAAAAGATCACTTCCAAAGAGGGCTGGGAACAGGGCTCCGCACAGAGCAAGCTGCAGCCTGGCGCCCATCCGGTTTCGCTTTGCGGCGCACTCGGGACTGTGATGTAGGCACCTCAGGGCAGGAGCCAGTCCACCTCCCATGCCAAAGGCTCATGGGAGTGCTCAGCCACAGCACTGCAGGAGGGGTGAAGCAAGGGGAGCCCCGGCCCCACTCCCACCTGCCTTCACCGCCCACTGACACTCCGTCCCGGGACTCACAGGGTCGATGCCAAAGGGGTAGGGTCCCAGGAAGACGCCAGTGACGTTGGGATCCAGGGTAAGCATTGTGTGCTGGGCCAGGAATGCATCACTATGGCAATGGAGGGCAGGGCGGTCAGGGCTGCGGGGGCTGCGGGGCCCCCAGCCAGGCTGTGGCACGGGCCTCACCTCCAGCCAGACTGGTTGGCCATGGCAGCCACGCTCCAGCCCGAGGGGAAGATGCTGCTGGCACGGCTGAAGCACTCATTGTAGATGAAGCCGGTGTAGACGGAGAACAGGCCCATGAGCAGGAGCAGGTAGCGGCCCCCGAAGAAAGTCTGCCAGATCTGGGGGGGCAGCGGTGCGGTGAGGGGCTGCCTGGCCCCTGCCTGGCCCCACCCGAACCCCCTCGCCTGGCCCCTCACCTCATTCTGTGCGGCCTTCATGGCTGGCCGGTTCTCCGCAAGCACCATGGCCAGGGCGAAGAGGAACATGAGCAGCCCGTGGCCCACGTCCCCGAACATCACGGCAAACAGGAAGGGGAAGGTGACGATGGTGTAGGGTGCTGTGGGCCAAGGGTGTGGTGGGTGAGCTGGGAACCCTCGAATATTGGCATCTACCTCCTCGCCCAAGAGGCCATGGAGGCCCTGCTGACCTGTAGTCAGGAACCCATCACTTAGCAGCATGGTGGGGTAGCTCACGCCTATAATCCCAGCACTTTGGGGAGCCGAGACAGGAGGATCACCTGAGGTCAGGAGTTCGAGACCAGCCTGGCCAACATAGCAAACCCAGTCTCTACTAAAAATACAAAAATTAGCCTGGCGAGGTGGGGCATGTCTGTAAATCCGGCTACTCGGGATCAGGAGGCTGAGACAGGAGAATCACTTGAGCCCAGGAGGCGGAGGTTGCAGTGAGCCGAGATCATGCCACTGCACTCTAACCCGAGCAACAGAGGGAGACTCTGTCTCCAGGAAAAAAAAAAAAAAAACAAAACCCACCACTTAGGAGCTGTGTGACCTTGGACTAGCCACTTAACCTCTCTGAGCCTCCATCTCCCCATCTGTAAAATGGAGGTAACACGAGGCCACTTCATAAGGTCTCCACGGGCAGCACCTGGCCAGCCGCCGGCACCGCAGGAAATTAGCAGCTTCAGTTGTTGCTGTCCCTAAGAGCCCCACACAGAGGCCAGAGAGGACAGGGAGCCACTGGCGGCCCCGGCTGGCACATGGCAAGTTCCAGGCCAAGCTGGTTGCTCCAGCTCTGAAGTCTCTACTTCCCATCAGTAAAAGGGGACCAAGTCCTCACGGGAGGAAGGAGGATCCCAGCACACACACCCTGACAGGGGCTGCTCTGTGGCCCCAAAAAACATACACAGGTGTCCCAGCCCCAGCAACTCTGGATGTGACCTTCTTTGGAGACAGGGTCCTTATGGAGGTCGCAGGCTTAAGATAAGGCCATTACACTGGGCCCTTATCCAGTGTGCCAGGATCCTTACGAAAAGGAACATCTGGACTCACATAGAGGGAGAACAGCGCTTAAAGATGAGGCTGACCTCTCCAAGCCCAGGGGAGAGGCTGGGGACGGATCCTCCTGGACAGCCTAGAAGGACAACACCTTATCATCTTTTATTTGTTTAAGAGACAAGGTGTTGCTGTGTTGCACAGGCTGGTCGCAAACTCCTGGACTCCAGCGCTTCTCCTCCTACCTTGGCCTCCCGAAGCGTTGAGATGACAGGCATGAGCCACTGCACCTGGCCCCTGCTGGACTTCAAACTCCAGGACTGCGGGCGGTGTCTGCCCCTTAAGCTCCAGCCTGTGGCACTTCATTTCAGCTTCCCTGGCACACACTAACCCAAAGGCTGGTGCTTTGAGCTGGCAGCATCCTACCCACTGTGGGCCTCTGAGTAATGCCGTGGCTGCACCAGCCTCTGTCCATGCGCAGGGGAAACCGGGTGGGGCCGGATCCAGCCCTGGGACGTGGGCCCTGCAGGAGCACAGGCCCCCCAGGACCACACAGCCCTGGTCTTGGTCCATGCAGCCTCGAACGTGCCTCACCTGTGCCACCCTAGGGGCCTGAGCACCCTGACTCTTGCCCACTGGGTGAGGCAGGGCCCCCTCCCTGGCCTGTGACCAAGCCCCTCCCAACAGGGGCTCCACCACGTCACACCCATGCTATAGGCTGGACCCCACACTGGGTCCCTCCACACATCTGACAGCACCAGCCACACTGCAACTGGCCCACTGTGTGGGGGAGTAGCGTCCCGAGCGGGAGGACCCAGGTGGATGACAGAGCAGGCACTGCAGGCATCAGGACTCCCAAGGGGGAGAGGGAGGAGGAGGGGGAGCACTAGAGTTCCCCTGCCCCCACCCTCCACCCTCATCCCTTACTGGTTTCTACTGGGAGCACTTCCCTTAACCTACTACTTCCTCCAGAATGTCCGTCTCAGGGAGAGCCTGACCTAAGACCACATTAATGCAAACTTTTATAAAAACACTGTGTAGGGCCAGTGGCTCACACCTGTAATCCCAGCACTTTTGGAGGCTAAGGTGAATGGATCAAGAGGTCAGGGGTTCGAGACCAGCCTGGCCAACATGGTGGCCAAAATATAAAAATTAAAAATACAAAAATTAGCCGTGCATGGTGGCACGAGCCTGTAATCCCAGCTACTCAGGAGGCTGAGGCAGGAGAATTGCTTGAACCTGGGAGGCAGAGGTTGTAGTGAGCTGAGATCATGCCACTGCACTCCAGCCTGGGTGACAGAGTGAGATTCTGCCTCAAAAAAAAAAAAAAAAGAAAACCACTGTGTGACGAAACCAACCCCACACAGGCTGCCCCAGCTGTCCAGTGGTCACCAGGCTTCCCGACATTCCTCTGAGGCTCACACTAGTCTTTCTATTTTGCAGTTAAGGCAGCTGAGGCTCAGAGAAGCTATGAAACATATTGAAGTAGGTGAGACGGGCTTGGAACCTGGGCCTTGCCCGCTGCACATACAGCCTCTGTTCTTGGCACAAGCCCGTGCCGGTTCCTTTGTAAACTCAAGGGGTAGCATGCTGGGGGCCAACATAGACCCCAGACCAGGACAGAGCTGCCTCCCCCTCAGGCTCACACCCAGTGGGGCAGCTGAGCCTCCCAGGACCCGGGATGAGGGTGCCATGGCTCTCACCGGGGTTGACCTCCTGGTAGCGGCCCACACCATAGGCATCCACGATGCCCTGGAAGCTGGCAGTGAATCGGTTGGTGCGGATGAGCGTGGGGGGCATGTCGCGGCTGGGGATGCGGTGGGCCACGGCGCTCACTCCCTCCTCCATCTGGATGCCGGGGCAGAAACAGATCAGACTGGTGGTAGGGCCTTCACGGACCCTGATAGCCCCAGCCAGGCCCGGCTGGGGATGCAGAGCACTGTGGAAGCTCACTGGGCAGCACTTTCCCCGCTCTCAGACATGAGATGACCAGCCCCACTCTGCTCTGGTGAGGGCCCAAAGACGTCTCGTGGACTGGCAATTGCTCGGGAAAGGCAAGTGCCCCGCCTCACCTCCAGCACCTGCCGTTGCGAGGCGGGCAACCCCTGGAGGCACTGGCATCACAGGCCGTGAGCAGGCCCATGGTCACGGCGGGGAGGGGGGAGGCCTGGATTGGAACCAGGCTTCTGACTTTAGAGCTGCCCCGTGCAGCCTCTGGGGCTCAGGGAAGTCAGGGTAGGGAGAGCTTGTGGGGCCAGGGCCATCAGGGCAGACTCCCAGGAACAGGTGGGCCGTGGAGGAGGCTGGGAGGGGAAGTCCCTGGGCTAAGGCCAGGTGCAGGGAACCAGAGGCTGGACACCCGGCCTGGTGGGAGGGGTGGGTGGGGAGGACGAGGCCTCGGGCTGCGCTCACCGAGCTGTCCCGCAGGGCCTCCTGCAGGGCCGGCAGGTCTCGCGCGGCGCACCAGGTCTCCGCGATGAGGCACTTGTGCGTGGTGCTCATGCTGCACTGGTTCAGGGCCAGGTACACGGCCTTCATCTTACGGACCTGCACCTGCGCTGGTGGCAGCAGCTGCTGCACCCGGCCCAGCACCTGACTCAGGAACCGCTCCGTCTCCCCCAGGACCTGTGCCAGAGCGGGCGGTCAGCCGGGCCTGGGTGGGCAGCTGGGCCGGGGGCACCCACCTCTGGGAGGCCGGGGCGCCCACCTCCTGCAGCTCCTGGCTCTGCTGCTGCAGCGCTGCGCGGCGGGCCTCCTCCTGCTCCAGGAACGGGAAGATGTGGCAGTGGAAGCTGGCGGGAGGATGTGCGTGTGAGGGGACCGAGGGTCCCGGCTACCAGACTCTGGGTCTGAAGGGAGCTCATGGGGTAGAGTCTCAATACAGTGGGCGGTGGGGCGGGTGGCCCCGGCGACTCACCAGTCCGTGATCTTGCGGATCTTCTGTCCGATCTGCTCGCCCCAGTAGGAGATGAGGAAAGTCATCCACGTGGCTGGCTCACCCTGCGGAGCAGGCTTGGTTGAACCTGGAGTCCCGCTCTTTCCAGGATCCCCCAGCCCAGCACCAGCTGCTCACCGTCACGGGGTGCTCCAGTGGCCGCTCCAGCTCCCTGAAGCTGGCGATGAGGAAACCACGGCAGGCCCTCCAGAGCAGGCGCTCCAGGGCGGGGGCCTTGTGGGGCTCCACGGCACCTGCCACAAAGCTGGCGGCCACGGGGCTGGGCAGGGCTGCTGCAACCTCCCGTCCCACCTCCCCACCAGGCTGCCGGGCAGGACCCTGCCCAGCACAGGCAACTGGGCACACTGGCCCTGCCCAGAGGGGAAGGCAAGAGGCCCCCCACCACCATCAGGGTCAGAAGAGAACCCCCTGCCCCTCAGGGCCAGGGCTTGGGACTGTGGGAAGTGCCAGGTCTGAAGGAAGAGGCGGGGGCAGCCTGAGGGCAGGAACAGAGGGGAGAGCACTGGACAAGGAGTCGGAGCTCAGCCCAGCCCAGCTCAGTGACTGGCCAGGGTTCTGGGCTGACCAGAAAGGGCACGAAGTCATCCCTCACTCACTTGACCCTCAGGTCCTGGTGCGGCCCCCCAGGGGCCTGGAGCAGAGGCGTCCTCTCCGAGGCCCCATATGTGTGGGTGGCTGCCAGCTAGGAACCCAGAAGCACCATGAGCCCTGGGACAGGCAGCCTCCCCCGCCCCTGTCTCCTGCCCGGGCTGGAGCTGACCTGCGGGCTGTGGCCCTGGCCCAGCACTGCCGCGTGGAGCTGCAGCTGGTGCAGCTGGACCCGTAGGGCCTGCTGGTTGCCCCGAACATCCCGCAGCTCCTGGGCCAGGCGCTCAGTCTCCTCCTGGATGCGCAGCAGGTCCCGGGGTGGGGGTGCTGGCAGCCTCCCTTCGGGCGGGGGCAGGACCAGCCCAGCCCGCTGCACCTCCTCCTGCAGGAAGGCTGGGCACAGAGGAACAGGAGTGGGGGACAGTCGAGGTTGTCTGAGCAGCTGAGGACCCCACCTGCTGCCCCACACTGTTACCTGGTGGATTCACCAGGCGGAGGCTGCTGGAAAATCCCAGCCAAACTCCATCCAGAAGCTATGCTCCCCTCCCTGTGCGCTCAGGTCCGGGCTGCTGTCCCTCCCCAGTCCCTTGGCCACTGCTAAGTGCAGGGCCTGAGGTCTCCCTACAGGCTGGTCCTCGAGCTGCAGGGCCTGGGTCCGAAACTGGTGTGAGTCCTGTGCCTGCCTGATCGTTGAAAAGCTATAAACAGCACCAGCAAACACGAAACTCAGCCTGCTCCAGGCCCATGCCTTGGTGCCCCACAGGCTCCTCCTGAGAGGGGCTGCCCAGGGCAGAGGTCCCTCTTGTCTGCTCCTTGGGGGACACCCCACCCTAGATTCTGGGCCCCACCCACCCCAGCCCAGCTGTAAGCTCACCCCAGGAGAAAGCTCTGTCTGTGCCTCTTTCCTGCTTAGAAACCCCTGTGGCTCCCGGTGCCCGCAGGACGAAGTCCTGGGCTCTTGTGCTATATTAGGGGCCTCCCCAGACAGCCCTGCCCTAGGCCCTCTGCTCAGCCCACCCGAGGCAGCCCTTCCCAAGCACATCTCACAGATCCAGCTGCTCTGTCTTGGCCCTGCAGGGCCCTGCCCGTCCTTCCCTTCCCTCCCTTCCACCTGGCAAACCCAGATTTTCCTTTCAGATCAAACTTGGCCCACGCCTCCTCCAGGAAGCCTGCCTGGAATGTAGGCCTGGGACCAACTCACTGAAGGTCTTCTCCAGCTCCTCGCAGCGCCGAACATCAACCACAAAGCGTCTCTGGAAGGCACTCACCGAGGCGTTGAGCTGTGGGTGCCGCATGGAGGGGTCAGTGTCCCAGGAAGGGGGTCATGGAGGTCCCCACCCTGGAGCCCAGGCCCTCCAAAAAGGTGCTGGGAGCCACAAGACTCTGATCAGAGCACAGCCCAGACCCCACACCCTGGGGGAGGATGGGGAGGAGCTGGCTCAGGGGCCTCGGCCGTGGCTTCCCACAAGCAGCACCCATGGCAGGGGCTGTAGGGGTTCAAATGGGGCCAGGGCCCTATGGGAAGTGGTCTCCATCCTGGAGCGGCCTTCGGGCTAACCTCAGCAGCAGCCCCCTCCCACACTTGCCCACCCAACTCACATCTCTGAACTCCACGAGGCCCAGCTCGCCCAGCCGGCTCACGCAGGTGTAGGCAGCAGCTGTGGGCAGAAAGAGCTGGACCAGGGCCACCTCCTCACTCCGGAACATGGAGCCCATGGTCCTGTGGGTGGACACGGATGGGGGCCAGTCAGGGCTGACCACAGACAGTTCCCAACTGTGGGCACCTGTGCACCTTCGCTCATTGAATCCTGGAAGCTCCTGCTACCACCCCATCTGACAGAGGCGGAAACTGAGGCCTGGGCAGGCTGGACACAGTGCTGAGGTCATGCAGGAAGTAAGCGGTGGGACTGGGAGACCCTGAAGCCCACCCTCAGGCTGACCTCAAGCTCTCTCCTGGCTGGTTCTGCCCCTGGGTCCCCCGCCCCTACCCCCAGCATCTTCAAATGATGCCGACTCGACCCCTACCTTCACTCCAGCCTCCCTCCTCCCGGGCTGCCCTCACAGACAGAACCGCACTGGCCCAGGCACTTAGGCCCATGGCGGCCCTGGGGGTGGCTGGAGCCCTCCCTGCTGCCTGTGCTGAGTGGCCAGGGTGGGCATCTCCACTGGTCCCTTGGTGGGGGGACCCGTCCCCCGAGGCTTGGGGCACCAGCAGGAGCCGCAGCCTTCCAAGTGTTGAAACCAACAAAAGTGAAACTGCAGAATGATGGGGAGGGCCAGGACCTCGCTCAAGGCCGATGAGGGTGGGGGCGGTGCCCGGCCACCTCCAACCCGCCCCGGCCCTGTGGGTGCTGGGCCCCCCTGCTCCAAGGCCACTGCTCTAAGGGCCCAGGGCCCCTCTGTGGGCCTTAGCTCTTAAATTAGTTCCTTAGCTCTTAAATTAGTGGGAGGGGACAGGCTTGGTGAGGGCCCCTCCTGCTGCCGGGCTGGCCAGGGCCTGCCCAGCCAGTCACTTCCTCCCCTGGGTCTGGTTTACTTAACTCTAAAAGGGAACTGCAGCCCCAGCCCCAGCCTGGGAAAGAAGAGAATGAGGGAAGAACGGAACACTGAGGGGACAGCTCAAGGCTGCAGGGGGGCAGGGCCCTGGCGGGGGCAGGAGCAGGGGTGCTGGGTTCCATCCCTAAGGACCAGGCTGAGCCATAAGGCTGAGATTTGGGGCCCAGGCTGAGATTGGCTGTGTGACCTTGGGCAAGTCTCTCTCCCTCTCTGGGCCTCGATTTCCTCTTTGGGTGAATGAGATATGACACCCCTGAATGAGACAGGATCTGGGGAGGTGACAAAAATAACCAGAGCCCCCAGTGACTCCCTTCATTCACAGGACCGCACACTAATCCCTGGGGGGAGCAATCCTGGGGGAGGGGCGCTGGCCCCTGGTTTTACATGGGGCTCCATGGACACTCAGAGAGGTAAAGTCCAGTGTCACATGCCCAGCGGGGCTGACCCACGCATGGCCTGCTCCGGGCCGCAGGGTTAGATGTCCCAGCACACAGCATGAGCTCGGAGAAGGGTCGTGTTCTGACCTGGCTCCCTCTGGGGCTGTGCCACCCAGATAGCGGGGTATGGGGAGTCAGCTCTGGGGTCCAGGGAAGGGGCACCCCTGGCTCAGGGCATCAGGGCTCCCACAGCCACTCATCTCCCTCTGGCACTTCCCAGGGGGTGGGGGGACAACCTGTGATGGGTGGGGTTGTGTGTGGGACCTGGTCGGCCCCCACTCCTGGCCTGTGAGGCTCCACTGGCTCACCCCCTACCCTGTCCCCCTTGGTCCCTGCTCAAGCAGGGGCTACCCAGCCACTTTTATGATGCAAACGAATATGCCTCCACCCTGCGGGCCCTCGGGGCCAGGCTCCAGCCCACGCCTCACCCTGTGTCCCTTTCCTGGCCCCTCACAAGGCTACTCTAGGAACCCACCAGGTCTCTCCAAATCCCTGCCCTCCACTCCGGATGATGAGAAGGCAGAAGGAGAGGGTCTGGCGCCCCCTCCATTCCAAACGGTGTGGGCTCTGGAGTTAAATGACCCGGTTGGTCTCCAGCTTTGATACTTGCTAGTTGGGTGGCCTCCGCTTTCCCATCTGTAAAATGGATCCCTCCCTCCAAGGAAGATGCAGTGGGGAAAGCTCTGCGCACACCCGGCCCGGGAACGCATCCAACACCCCATCCTTCTTCTCCCTTGGCGATCCTCCGTGGACCCCCACAAGGCCTGACCCCGGCGTGATGGCGGGCTGGGCTGCATTCACGGAGCCCACTGAGTGGGGCAGGAGAAGAGGGTGGGCAGGCAGAGCTGGGCTCCGCAGACCTCAGCGGGGGCACTCACCCCGCGTGGGCTGTACGCTGCGCCTCCGCTGCTGGCTGCCCCGCTCCAGCACGCCGTGACCGGACTCGGAACTGCCTCCCGCCCGGGGCCAGCGCCGCTTACTCCTTCCCGAATGGGCGGGGCGATGGGGAGGGGCCAGGAACGCCCCGCCCCCGGCCCGAGTCTCCCCCAGAGTGCAGGAAGCCTGGGGGAGGCTGGCAGACTGTGGCCTAGCAGACGATCTTCCGTGGGGCGCTTAATGGGCGGAGAGGACGCCTGGAAACCGGAGAGGATAACGGACCAGTGCCAACCGTGTGAATCTGCGCTGGTACTGATGCGGGAGCAGCGGCTCAGGCCCAGCTCAGGATAGGGGATGAGACCCTGCTCTCCTCTCACTCCGAGGCTTGCTTTCCTTATGGCTGATGGGACGCCAACATTCGCAGGCTCATGGGCCTGGGATTCCCAGGATGCTCCCCCACCTCCAGGACCCCTCCTTTGGGTGCGTGACAGTGAAACCCGGTGCTTACACCTTCCTGCTCTTGACCACCTGGCAGGGGCTCAGCGCTGGCCCTTGGGAGGGTGGCTGCCCCCCTGCACCTGCTTCACTGCAGCAGGACACAGGGCCAGGTCATGCTGCCTTGTTCTGTCCAGGGCCCTGCTCCCAGCAGGCCCTGGGAGATGCCCTGGGGCCACAGAGGCCAGCTGTCACCTCCACCTCCCCCGGGGGGCTGTCACTGTGACCTTGCTCCAGGTCAGCTCCCTGGGGATCAGGTCCCAGTGCCTGGAAGCTGGGACTCACAACTGTTTAGCCACCAGCACTCTGGACAGGCCTGTGCTTTCCCACTGGGAGCCAGTAGGGCCCTTCAACTCTGGGGATCCCTAAGCCCCACATAGCAAGCAAAGGCCTGAGGGGGCTGTGGGAGGGGACAAATGGAGCCCCAGAGCAGGGCCTGGAAATTGAGTCACAGCCAAGCTCGGCTAGTTGCTCAGAAAATTGGGAGACTTACGGTTGGGCGCCATAGGTCTCTTCTGACAGGGGCAGGGCCTGATACAACCAGACAGCCCCGGCCGGGTCTCAGCAGAGCAGTGCCTGGGAGGCCGAGGTAAGGTGAAGAACCCAGCGGTGAGCTGGCAAGGCTGCCCGTGTGGAATAGTATTCCGTGCACCGCTACAGGCTCCATGCCACAAATCTAACAGCAGTTACATCTGAAAAATGCTAAACCAGCAGTGATTCAAGAGTCCTAGTCCTGCCTCCTGGGATTGCCTCAGTTTTGGAAAGAGCTATCTTCATCAGCAGCCGAGATGAGTTGTGGGCCGGACCTGTGGCAACTTCCCCTCACCTCCTGCAGTTACTTCTCACCCCAGTGCCAGGCTGTGGGCCCCAAGCAGTGGCCGACCGGCCACTTTAGCATTAGATGGCAATGGCTGTACTGTGAAGGAGGCCCAGGTGTTAGACCTGAGAAAAGGCTCCCTGGGAATGGGCTGGGAGAGGCTGGATTTTTTGCTGCAGGCTTTGTCAGAGCCTTGAGTGTCTACCATGCAGTGCCTGGCCGCAGGCAGAGAGCAGCTGGACCGTTTCCCACACTCACTGGGCCAGGAAACACCTTCTCTGTTCTTTCAGAGAAGCAGCTCATTACAAAGTAGTGCTCTGTAAAAAGCACTTTTGGAAATGACGGGGGAGGGTACAGGTCTCTGAGCTGAGCTTTCTTACGGGATGTGCGCGGCATGGCCCTGGGCAAGCCCCTTCACCTCTTAGAGCTGGTTCGAAGTGAAATCCTTCCACATGTGTACTTAGCACAAGTTCAAGGGGGCTGCTTCGGCCATTACGTGGACAAGGGGCTTGTGTGTGATCCTGGGGGAAGCCCAGCATATCGCTGGCCCTGCAAAGCAGGAAGTGGTGAGCAGCGGCCGGGCCAGCAGCCTGACCTGGGGAATGTGGGGAGGAAAGAGGATGTGGCTGGAGGCAAGGCCAGCTCAGGGCCAGGAGGGCCTGTGTCACCCTCGTGTGACTGTAACCCCAAGCAGGCTTCCTCCTACCCCCAGCAAGGACGCCTCGGCCTGAGTTTCTGCCACTTGCTGTCCCTCAGCCTAAGGCCTTGGGAGGCTCCGGCTGGGACACCCAGGACAGTGGGAACAGAAGGTCTGTGGTGACCTCTGGCATTGCAGGACCTTGGGGAAGATGCCCAGGAAGAGGCATCTTCCTCTTGACATCCCTTCTTCATGACAGGGATGCTGTCATGAAGGCCTGGTGGGGCCCTGGAGTCCACAGGAAGGCAGGCTGGGCAGCAGGACCCCATAGAGCAGGGAGGTGGTGGCGCCACAGGCTTGAGGCAGGCTGGGGATGGGCCCACCTCGGCCCAGTCAAGACAGGAGGCGGTAGGGGGAGAGCGGTTTTATTGGCAGAGGCGGCGTCAGCGGTACAGGTAGTCGGCCTGGATGTTGGCAGCGATCTCCGCCTCCCACTTGTCCCCGTTGTTGAGCAGCTTCTCCTTGTTGTACAGCAGCTCCTCGTGCGTCTCCGTGGAGAACTCGAAGTTGGGGCCCTGCAGGTGGGGGTGCAGGGGTGGCGGTCAGGGCCCGCCAAAGAGCCTCCACTCCTCCCACCCTGGGCCCCACGTGCCTCAACTATGGCGTCCACGGGGCAGGCCTCCTGGCAGAAGCCGCAGTAGATGCACTTGGTCATGTCGATGTCATAGCGAGTGGTCCGGCGGCTGCCGTCAGCTCTCGGCTCAGCCTCGATGGTGATGGCCTGCAGGAGGGGCCGCCAGATGCTGCTGAGCTGCCTGCCACATCCCAGCCCCCGGGCCCCCGTCACAACTCATCCCCACCCTGGTGTCTGCCGGAAGCCCCTCCCCTCAGAGGCCTCCCCGACTCCGGCTAAGAGGCCGCCCTGCACTTATGCCATGTCAGCGCCTGTCTCCTCAGCACTTGCCCTGCTGGCGTCCCTGCCTCGCCTGTTTGTCAGGCAAGAACCCCACCTCCACAAAGGGGCTGTCCACTGCTTCATTCGGCGCGGTGCCCACTGCTGTACGGGTCCCACCCTGAGGTGACTGCTGGGTTGCTCGCCGGGCTTCCCAGGCATGGTAAGTTTACAAGTTGAAGGTCTGGGACAACCCTGCAGAAAGCAGCTCACTGACGTCATTTTCCCAGGCACACGCTCACCTCTTAACTCTGGGTCAAGACTTTTTAGCAATAAAGATCTTTGCTTTTTAGACAGTCTGGCACTGTCGCCCAGGCTGGAGTACGGTGGCCCAGATCAGAGCTCACTGCAGCCCTGACCTCCCAGACTCAAGCGATCCTCCCACCTCAACGTTGCTCCCAAGTAGCTGGGACTACAGGGGCTAATTTTCTGTATTTCTTCTGCAGAGAAAGGGTTTTGCCATGTTGCCCAGGCTGGTCTCAAACTCCTGGGCTCAAGTGATCCACTTACCTCGACTTCCCAAAGTGCTGGGACTATGGGTGTGAGCCACTGTGCCCGGCCCCTATTTAGATAAGGTATATACACTGCATTTTAGATACTTTGGAGCCTATGGTACAGTGTAAATCTTTTTTTTGTGTGTGTGATCTTGACTCACTGCAACCTCTACCTCCCATTTCAAGTGAATTCTTGTGCCTCAGCCTCCCGAGTAGCCGGATTTCAGGCACTGCCCCAATGCCCAGCTAATTTTTATATTTTTAGTAGAGATGGGATTTCACCATGTTGGCCAGGCTTGTCTCCAACTCCTGACCTCAAGTGATCCACCGACCTCAGCCTCCCAAAGTGCTGGGATTACAGGCGTGAGCCACTGTGCCTGGTCTAAATGTAACTTTTATATGCACTGGAAAACCAAAACATCTGTGTGACTTGCTTTACTGCGATGGTCCGGAACCGAACCTGCAACGTCGCTGAGGATGCCTGCCTGCACTGCTGGTTGCAACCTGTACCTTAAATCTATTTCTCTCCATTTGACGGATAGAAAACTAAGGTTCCGAGAGGTCGAGGGGCTCCGTAAAGCTACACAGCAAGTGAGGGGCACAGCCCAAACTCAAGAGCGTGTCCTAACTCTCAGGTCCTGGGTAGCCCGCTAGGGGAGGGGCTGGCTGGGGGAACCTTCAGATGTGCTTGGCAAGGACAGACACCCTCATCCTAGAAGTGTAGTGTCCACAACTCACAGTGGGCCCCGTGGCTGGCAGCCTCATCTTTTTGTGCTTATAAAGATGAGGAGGCTGGGAGTCCACAGGAGGCACAGCGCCGGGTCTGCCTGTAGACAGCGCTCACTCCCTGGAAGCCACGGCTCTGACCAGTGTGACTGCTGTTTGGGGACACTGCTGTGCACTCTAGACAGCGCTCACTCTCTGGGAGCCACGGCTCTGACCAGTGTGACTGCTGTTTGGGGACACTGCTGTGCACTCTTGGTCCGTGGCTGGAGCAGAGGCATCAGGGCCGCAGCTCAGGGCCTGGAAGACTAGGAGTGCTCCACGGGACAAACTAGGACTTGGACAGGAACCACCGAGTCACAGAACACTGGGAGGGGTTGCTGTGCCCGAGGAAAGTAGCGATGTGGCTGCTGGGGCTCCTGCCGGGCACACACGGGTCTGACCAGAGCTCTGATCGAGTCATTCTGGTCCTGTGCTGATAGGCCCCAGCCCCCGCTGGTCTGAGTGAGACCCAAAGAGAACAGAAAGCCGGGCCTTAGACGAGCAGTCACTGGGGAGGGGAAGCCTGCAACAGGCACGTAGCCAGGACCCTGGAAACAGTGGCTACATCCAGCGAGGTGTGGACAGCCTCAGATGCCACCCGTGGCTCACAGGCCCAGGGGTCACACCCCTGGCCAGACCCCAAGAGGGAAACTCCGTGTGTCATGCGCCTGTCCGGGGCTGGGAGCTTCACTCTGCCAACTCACTGACTGTGCTCTGGCAAAAAGGCTGTACCACTCCCATTCAGGAGGGAAGTGGCTCAGAGAGGGAAAGGGACTTCCCTGGGAACACACATCCAGCAGCTCCCACCAGCATGCACTGAGAGCTGACTTTGTGCCAGGCACCATGCCCAGAGTGTGGGCCTAGGGCTGTCTGGCCTCTGTCTCCCAGTGGCAGGGGCTGGCATGGTGGTTGGCTGGGGCAGGGGCTTACCTGGGCGGGGCAGATGGCCTCGCAGAGCTTGCAGGCAATGCAGCGCTCCTCCCCAGATGGGTACCGGCGCAGGGCATGCTCCCCACGGAAGCGAGGGCTCAGTGGGCCCTTCTCGAACGGATAGTTGATGGTAGCCGGCTCCCGGAACAGGTAGCTCAGGGTCATGGCCAGGCCTGTGGGCAGCATGGGCATGGTGGGCAAGGGCACCTCCTCCCCCTTGCATCTGTGCCCACCCGGCACTGCCCCCATCCCATTCTGCCCAGCGCACACCTCGGAAGAGCTCGGTCCACAGCAGGGTCTGGG